GCCAGAAAAAAGCCATTGCTTAAAGAAAAAAATAAGAAAACACATTTGGTGTTCGCCAAAAGGCATGTGGGAGACTCCCCAAACATACAGTGAGGGAAAAAAGTATTTGATCCCCTGCTGATTTTGTACGTTTGCCCATTGACATAAGACATGATCAGTCTATAATTTTAATGGTAGATTTATTTGAACAATGAGAGACAGAATAACAAAAAAAAGATCCAGAAAAACGCATGTCAAAAATGTTATAAATTGATGTGTATTTTAATGAGGGAAATAAGTATTTGACCCCTCTGCAAAACATGACTTAGTACTTGGTGGCAAGTACTCCAAGTCATTAAGGTTTCGAGGCTGACGTTTGGCAACTCGAACCTTCAGCTCCCTCCACAGATTTTCTATGGGATTAAGGTCTGGAGACTGGCTAGGCCACTCCAGGACCTTAATGTGCTTCTTCTTGAGCCACTCCTTTGTTGCCTTGGCCGTGTATTTTGGGTCATTGTCATGCTGGAATACCCACCCACGACCCATTTTCAATGCCCTGGCTGAGGGAAGGAGGTTCTCACCCAAGATTTGACAGTACATGGCCCGTCCATCGTCCCTTTGATGTGGTGAAGTTGTCCTGTCCCCTTAGCAGAAAAACACCCCCAAAGCATAATGTTTCCACCTCCATGTTTGACGGTGGGGATGGTGTTCTTGGGGTCATAGGAAGCATTCCTCCTCCTCCAAACACGGTGAGTTGAGTTGATGCCAAATAACTAGATTTTGGTCTCATCTGACCACAACACTTTCACCCAGTTCTCCTCTGAATCATTCAGATGTTCATTGGCAAACTTCAGACGGGCCTGTATATGTGCTTTCTTGAGCAGGGGTACCTTGCGGGCGCTGCAGGATTTCAGTCCTTCACGGAGTAGTGTGTTACCAATTGTTTTCTTGGTGGCTATGGTCCCAGCTGCCTTGAGATCATTGACAAGATCCTCCCGTGTAGTTCTGGGCTGATTCCTCACCGTTCTCATGATCATTGCAACTTCACGAGGTGAGATCTTGCATGGAGCCCCAGGCCGAGGGAGATTGACAGTTATTTTGTGTTTCTTCCATTTGCGAATAATCGCACCAACTGTTGTCACCTTCTCACCAAGCTGCTTGGCGATGGTTTTGTAGCCCATTCCAGCCATGTGTAGGTCTACAATCTTGTCCCTGACATTCTTGGAGAGCTCTTTGGTCTTGGCCATGGTGGAGAGTTTGGAATCTGATTGATTAATAAATTCTGTGGACAGGTGTCTTTTATACAGGTAACAAACTGAGATTAGGAGCACTCCCTTTAAGAGTGTGCTCCTAATCTCAGCTCGTTGCCTGTATAAAAGACACCTGGGAGACAGAAATCTTTCTGATTGAGAGGGGATCAAATACTTATTTCCCTCATCAAAATGCAAATCAATTTATAACATTTTTGACATGCGTTTTTCTGGATTTTTTTGTTGTGATTCTGTCTCTCACTGTTCAAATAAACCTACCATTAAAATTATAGACTGATAATTTCTTTTTCAGTGGGCAAACGTACAAAATCAGCATGGGATCAAATTCTTTTTTCCCTCACTGTATGGAAGAAGGTACTCTGGTCAGATGAGACCAAAATTGAGCTTTTTGGAAAACGCTATGTCTGGCGCAAACCCAACACCTCTCATCACCCTGAGAACACCATCCCCACAGTGAAGCATGGTGGTGGCAGCATCATGCTGTGGTGAAGTTTTTCATCGGCAGGGACTGGGAAACTGGTCAGAATTGATGGCGCTAAATACAGGGAAATTCTTGAGGGAAACCTGTTTCAGTCTTCCAGAGATTTGAGACTGGGACGGAGGTTCACCTTCCAGCAGGAAAATGACCCTAAGCATACTGCTAAAGCAACACTCAAGTGGTTTAAGGGGAAACATTTAAATGTCTTGGAATGGCCTAGTCAAAGCCCAGACCTCAATCTAATTGAGAATCTGTGGTATGACTTAAAGATTGCTGTACACCAGCGAACCCATCCAACTTGAAGGAGCTGGAGCAGTTTTGCCTTGAAGAATGGGCAAAATTCCCAGTGGCTAGATGTGCCAAACTTATAGAGACATACCCCAAGAGACTTGCAGCTGTAATTGCTGCAAAAGGTGGCTCTACAAAGTATTGACTTTAGGGGGGTGAATAGTTATGCACGCTCAATTATATATATTTTTTCTTATTTCTTGTTTGTTTCACAATAAAAAATATTTTGCATCTTCAAAGTGGTAGGCATGTTGGGTAAATCAAATGATACAAACCCCCCAAAAATCCATTTTAATTCCAGGTTGTAAGGCAACAAAATAGGAAAAATGCCAAAGGGGGTGAATATTTTCGCAAGCCAACGTAGTCCATGGCAGTTCCATGGCAGTTGATTTAAGGTACTAGTCAACGTCATCGAACAGTAATCGAACTGTAGTGCAAGTCATCTCTGGGTATAGGTGGATTGTAGTTACAGCTGCGATCACATAAAAGAACAATTCATGGTTTACATAAAAGAACAATCTCGGAACACCCCAGTCGAGTTCCCAAACAACTCGACATATCCCGTTGGATCTGTTAACCCCACGCTCAGTCACAATTCTGTGTTCCTGAAAAACAGGTACAGTTCGCAACGCACAACGTCTCCCAAAAGAGAGAGAGAGAGAGAAAAAAATGCCTCATCCTCTCCGCCCAGCCTTAAGTAAGTGACAGTGTAGCCCCAGTCTTGACCACAGTAAAAAAGAGAAATGAAGTAAATAAAATCAATAGCCCAGCCTACAAATACATCCCCCAAAGGACATAGGCCTAATCATTTGGACTAAATAAGGAAGGTTTGGCCGGGGGGGCTTTACATGTAGGCCATTGTAAATAAGAATTTGTTCTTAACTAGATTGAGATTAGATTTTAGTCATTTAGCAGACGCTCTTATCCAGAGCGACTTACAGTTAGTGCATACATTATTTTATCGAACCCACAACCCTGGCGTTGCAAACGCCATGCTCTACCAACTGAGCTACATCCCCTGCCGGCCAAATCCCTCCCCTACCCTGGACGACGCTGGGCCAATTGTGCGCGCCGCCCCATGGGTCTCCCGGTCGCGGCCGGCTACGACAGAGCCTGGATTCGAACCAGGATCTCTAGTGGCACAGTTTAGCACTGCGGTGCAGTGCCTTAGACCACTGCGCCACTCGGGAGTATAACTGACTTGCCTAGTTAAATAATGGTTAAATAAATTAAATAAAAAAATTAACAGAAATGAGGGAGCAAATCCCTAAGAGGGATCTATAGGATGAGTTGCTTGTTATTATTAAAACGAAATATCAACAGGATAAGGCTGTCATAACCATGGGCATAAAATTGACACATTGATCCTCTCGTTCAGTCTGTAGAGGTGTCGTAATCGACAGGCTATCAATGGTAAAGGCCTATGTGAAAACTATAAATACAACTAAAAAGGTAGGTGTTACGCACTCCTCTCGAAAGAGGGAACGCAACACCCTGCTACTAACCCTAACCCTAACCCTAACCCTAACCCAATCTGACAGAACTACAGTTCCTTGGTTGAGATGGGAGAACCTGCCAGAAGGACAACAGTCTCTACAGCACTTCACCAATCTGGGCTTTATGGGAGAGTGGCCAGACGGAAGCCAATCCTGAGAAAAAGGCACATGACGGCACGCCTGGAGTTTGCAAAAAGGCACGTGAAAGACTCTGAGAGCATGAGGCAAAAGATTCTGTGGTCTGATGAGACAGAAATGTAACTCTTTGGCCTGAATGCAAAGTCTGGAGAAAACCAGGCACAGCTCATCACCCGTCTAACACCATCCCTTCCGTGAAGCATGGTGGTGGCAGCATCATGCTATGGGGATGCTTTTCAGCATCAGGGAAACTGGTAAGGATAGAGGGAACAATGAATGGAGCCAAAAACAGGTAAATCCTTGATGAGAACCTGCTTCAGAGTGCAAACGACCTTAGACTGTGGCGAAGATTTATGTTCCAACAGCACAATGACCCCAAACATACAGCCAAAGCAACGCTGGAATGGCTTCAGAACAAGAATGTGAAAGTCCTTGAGTGGCCCAGCCAAAGCCGAGACTTGAATCCCATTGAAAATCTGTGGAAAGACTTGAAGATTACTGTTCACCGCAGCTCCCCTTTATATCCTGTCCTCTTAAACCATGACCTGGTGACAACAGCACGTGTAGTTATGAAGCAATAAGGTGATAAATCAAACTGATTCACCTCTTGATTACTTGTATCTGATATCTGTGGTCCTATAATAACCATGTGATACAGCAAACAGAACGAATAATGCCTAAATGTCAATGCCATGTTTAAAATGTAATTACCTTTGCCTTTTGGTCTCATTGGTTATTACCTCATAATATAGTATTTTAATCATTAGGTTTGGAAGTGAATTAATGATTTACAGTCAAATATTTCCAATCAGCAAAGTAAAAGAGAAATGTCCTCTCTCAGCAAAAACTCCTATCATGATAATCAACAAGCCCCACCTGAAAGACGTTTGCCGTGTGTGCATGAACGGTGGCTGAAGGATTTAGTAGTCAGTCAGTCTGCCCACGTGCACATAGTTCTCACAACGTGCGTTTGTGTGTCCGTGTGTGTGTGTAATGATACTTTGATACTTTTGATAAACACTTTATTAAATAATACTCAACACAATGTTTACTAGTCTTCAATTTACAGTAGAAAACGGACGTGGGTGGGGATCAACATTTATACATTCATTAAAGAAGTCTTAGTGTAAAGTATAATATTTACATGAAATTAACATTTTCGTCCTGAGTATATCATTTGTTATTATTTTTCTATTTTGAAAACTTGGATACAATGTGTATTTTTTGTATATTTCACCTACTTTTCTCTTTGAGAACTACCTTAGTTTAAAATGTCAGAGAGGAAATTGAGAACATTCAACGCTAAGACAATGTTATTGAAAGTTCTGAATATTTTCCAGTACAGATAACTCATACAGTCCTTCAATAATCCTAATACATGGTGAAAAGCAGGTGGCCACTGAAGGTGCTGTGGCGATTTCCATCATCATATATCTTTCTCCCAGCCCAGAGATGCATGTAGACCACATCTCCTACCTCCAGCAGCACTGACACTCCATTAGAGGAATTAATGCCACCACTAGCTTGGTGAGCATGTGCAATAGCTATTTGATGTCCATTCTTATGCAAGGCTGCAGTTGTAGGAACTGAATTATCACCCCCTCCATAGATGTAAAACCTGAACAGGTAGAGTCCTCTCACTGGTGCCGTGAAGATCCCTGTATCAGAACACAACATTCACATAGAAACAGCCATCAGACATGATATGAGGACAGATGATTATTAATAACTATGTTTTCACACAGACTTTTAAATACTGATGATATGAATAGGGTGTACCTGTAGTGGGGTTATAAGCATTGCCAATGTTTGAGTAGATATTTCTGTAGACCAGGGTGATTCCAGTGTTGAAGGGTCCAGTGTCTCCGTGTTGACCAGGTGCTGCTAGTGATGCTGAGAAAGCCACCTTCCTGTCTGTGGGATAGAGATGCGTCAACACTACTTTATCTAACTGGACACTAGTTGGTGTAGATTAGACATGTTATCAACAATAAAGTCAGTCATTCAGACCTTAAAAAAAATAAAGAAATACTGTCAAAACTCATACTTAATTTTCCTCCCATTACCTTGACTGTTTCTCTTCAGAACTTCAACATGGCTCTCAGTGATGTTAGAACGAGTCTCCATGGAGATTAGTTTCACTGCTTGTGCTGAAATCAGATGCATGAACAATAAACAAGTCAGTGAGATTTAGTATACAGTGCATTCGGAAAGTATTCAGACACCTTCACTTTTTCCACATTTTGTTACGTTACAGCCTTATTCTAAAATGGATTAAATAGTTATTTTTCCTCATCAATCTACACACAATACCCCATAATGACAAGGCAAAAACAGTTTTTTGGAAATGTTACCAAATTCATAAAATAAGAAAAAACTGAAATATTACATTTACAGTGCCTTGCGAAAGTATTCATCCCCGTTGGCGTTTTTCCAATTTTGCTGCATTACAACCTGTAATTTAAATGGATTTTCTTTTGGATTTCATGTAATGGACATACACAAAATAGTCAAAAAATTCTAAAAAATAAATCACAGAAAAGGGGTGCGTGCATACCTATTCACCCTGCTATGAAGCCCCTAAATAAGATCTGGTGCAACCAATTACCTTCAGAAGTCACATAATTAGTTACATAAAGTCCACCTGTGTGCAATCTAAGTGTCACATGATCTGTCACATGATCTCAGTATATATACACCTGTTCTGAAAGGCCCCAGAGTCTGCAACACCACTAAGCAAGGGGCACCACCAAGCAAGCGGCACCATGAAGACCAAAGAGCTCTCCAAACAGGTCAGGGACAAAGTTGTGGAGAAGTACAGATCAGGGTTGGGTTATAAAAAAATATCTGAAACTTTGAACATCCCACAGAGCACCATTAAATCCATATAAAAAAATTGAAAGAATATGGCACCACAACAAACCTGCCAAGAGAGGGCCGCCCACCAAAACTCACGGACCAGGCAAGGAGGTTATTAATCAGAAAGGCAACAGAGACCAAAGATAACCCTGAAGGAGCTGAAAAGCTCCACAGCACAGATTGGAGTATCTGTCCATAGGACCACTTTAAGCCGTACACTCCACAGAGCTGGGCTTTACGGAAGAATGGCCTGAAAATAGCCAATGCTTAAAGAAAAAAAGAAGCAAAAACGTTTGGTATTCGCCAAAAGGCATGTGGGAGACTCCCCAAACATATGGAAGAAGGTACTCTGGTCAGATGAGACTAAAAATGAGCTTTTTGGCCATCAAGGAAAACGCTATATCTGGCGCAAACCCAACACCTCTCATCACCTCGAGAACACCATCCCCACAGTGAAGCATGGTGGTGGCAGCATCATGCTGTGGGGATGTTTTTCAGAATTGAAGGAATGATGAATGGCGCTAAATACAGGGAAATTCTTGAGGGAAACCTGTTTCAGTCTTTCAGAGATTTGAGACTGGGACGGAGGTTCACCTTCCAGCAGGACAATGACCCTAAGCATACTGCTAAAGCAACACTTGAGTGGTTTAAGGGGAAACATTTAAATGTCTTGGAATGGCATAGTCAAAGCCCAGACCTCAATCCAATTGAGAATCTGTGGTATGACAAAGATTGCGGTACACCAAAGGAACCCATCCAATTTGAAGGAGCTGGAGCAGTTTTGCCTTGAAGAATGGGCAAAATTCCCAGTGGCTAGATGTGCCAAGCTTATAGAGATATACACCAATAGACTTGCAGCTGTAATTGCTGCAAAAGGAGGCTCTACAAAGTATTAACTTTGGGGGGGTGAATAGTTATGCACGCTCAAGTTTTCTGTTTTTTTGTCTTATTTCTTGTTTGTTTCACAATAACAAATATTTTGTATCTTCAAAGTGGTAGGCATGTTGTGTAAATCAAATGACACAAACCCCAAACAAATCCATTTTCATTCCAGGTTGTAAGGCAACAAAATAGGAAAAATGCCAAGGGGGGTGAATACTTTCACAAGCCACTGTACATAAGTGTACAGACCCTTTACTCAGTACTTTTTTGAAGCACCTTTGGCAGTTATTGCACCCTCAAGTCTTCTTGGGTATGATGCTACACGGTTGGCTCACCTGTATTTGGGGAGTTTCTCCCATTCTTCTCTGCAGATCCTCTCGAGTTTGGTTTTTGCTCTGACATACACTGTCGACTGTGGGACCTTATATAGAAAGTGTGTGCCTTTCCAAATGATGTCCAATCAATTGAATTTACCACATGTGGACTCCAATCAAGTTTTAGAAACATCTTAAAGATTGACAAACCGGTTTTCGCTTTGTCAATATGGAGTATTGTGTGTAGATTAAAGAGTACATTATTTTATTTTTTATCCATTTAAAAATAAAGCTGTAACGTAACAAAATGTTGAATAAGTCAAGTGGTCTGAATACTGTATAGACAGGTGTGTGCTTTTCCAAATCATGTCCAATCAATTTAATTTACCACAGTTGGACTCCAATCAAGTTGTAGAAACATCTCAAGGATTATCAATGGAAACAGGATGCATCTGAGCTCAATTTTGAGTCTCATAGACCGTGTCTGTGCCTCGATCTAGGTTGAGCAAAACTAAACATGGCGGTGTTCGCCTTAGCAATCTCACTGGAATAAAGACCTCCTCTATTCCTGTCATTATTGAAAGAGATTGTGATATCTCACATCTTCAAATAGGGCTACTTAATGTTAGATCCCTCACTTCCAAGGAAGTCATAGTCAATGAACGAATCACTGATCATAATCTTGATGTGATTGCCCTGACTGAAACATGGCTCAAGCTTTAATATTCACATGGAAAAGTCCACAGACCCGCTCCAAAAGGCTTTCGGAGCCATCATCAACTCAGTGGGTTTTGTCCAACATGTCTCCGGACCTACTCATTGCCACAGTCATACCCTGGATCTAGTTTTGTCCCGTGGAATAAAGATTGTGGATCAAAATGTTTTTCCTCATAATCCTGGACTATCAGACCACCATCTTATTATGATTGCAATCACAACAAATAATCTAATCAGACCTCAACCAAGGATCATCAAATCTGTGCAATAAATTCTCGGACAACCCAAAGATTCCTAGATGCCCTTCCAGACTCCCTCCACCTACCCAAGGACGTCGGAGTTCAAAAATCAGTTAGCCACCTAACTGAGGATCTAAATTTAACCTTGCGTAATACCCTAGATGCAGTCGCACCATTAAAAACAAAAAAGAAGAAATGTACTCCCTGGTATACAGAATATACCCGAGCCCTGAAGCAAGCTTCCATAAAATTGGAACAGAAATGGCGCTCCGCCAATCTGGAAGTTTCCGACTAGCTTGGAAACACAGTACCGTGCAATATCGAAGAGCACTCACTGCTGCTCGATCATCCTATTTTTCCAACCTAATGGAGGAGAATAAGAACAATCCAACATTTATTTTTTATACTATCGCAAAGCTAACTAAAAAGTGACGATGGCTTTCACTTCAGCACTGATTAATTCATAAACTTATTCGATGAAAAGATCATGATCATTAGAAAGCAAATTACGGACTCCTCTTTGAATCTGCATATTTCTCCAAAGCTCAATTGTCCTGAGTCTGCACAGAACTGCCAGGACCTAGGATCAATGGAGACACTGAAGTTTTTTAATCCTGTATCTCTTGACACATTCATGAAAATAGCCATGGCCTCTAAACCCTCAAGCTGCATACTGGACCCTATTCCAACTAAACTACTGAAAGAGCTACTTCCTGTGCTTGGCCCTCCAATGTTGAAATAAATGGCTCCCTATCCACTGGATGTGTACCAAACTCACTAAAAGTGGCAGTAATAAAGCCTCTCTTGAAAAACCAAACCTTGATCCGGAAAATGTAAAAAACTATCGGCCTATATCGAATCTCCCATTCCTCTCAAAAATGTTAGTAAAAGCTGTTGCGCAGCAACTCACTGCATTCCTGAAGACAAATAATGTATATACGAAATGCTTCAGTCTGGTTTTAGACCCCATCATAGCACTGAGACTGCACTCGTGAATGTAGTAAATGACCTTTTAATGGCATCAGACCAAGGCTCTGCATATGTCCTCGTGCTCCTAGACCTTAGTGCTGCTTTTGACACCATCGATCACTGCATTCTTTTGGAGAGATTAGAAACCCCAATTGGTCTACACGGACAAGTTCTTGCCTGGTTTAGATCTTATCTGTCGGAAAGATATCAGTTCGTCTTTGTGGATGGTTTGGCCTCTGACAAATCAATTGTACGTTTCGACGTTCCTCAAGGTTCCGTTTTAGGACCACTGTTGTTTTCACTATATACTCTACCTCTTGGTGATGTCATTCGGAAACACAATGTCAACTTTCACTGCTATGTGGACGACACACAGCTGGACATTTCGATGAAACATGGTGAAGACCAGAATTTGCCTACCCTGGAAGCCTGTGTTACAGACATAACTCGGACAAAACAGAGATGCTACTTTAGGTCCCAAGAAACAAAGAGATCTGCTGTTAGATCTGACAATTAATCTTGATGGTCGTCTCAAATAAAACTGTGAAGGACCTTGGCGTTACTCTGGACCCTGATCTCTCTTTTGACTAACATATCTAGAATATTTAGAGGACAGCTTTTTTCCATCTTCGTAACATTTCAAAAATCAGAAACGTTTTGTCAAAAAATGATGCTGAAAAGCTAATCCATGCTTTTGTCATTTCTAGATTAGACTACTGCAATGCTCTACTCTCCGGCTACCCAGATAAAGCACTAAATAAACTTCAGTTAGTGCTAAACACGGCTGCTAGAATCTTGACTGGAACCAAAAAAGTTGATAATATTACTCCAGTGCTAGCCTCTGGCTTCCTGTTAAGGCTTGGGCTGATTTCAAAGCTTTACTGCTAACCTACAAAGCATTACATGGACTTGCTCCTACCTGTCTCTCCGATTTGGTCCTGCCGTACATACCTACACGTACGCTACGGTCACAAGACGCAGGCCTCCTTATTCTCCCTAGAATTTCTAAGCAAACGGCTGGAGGCAGGGCTTTCTCCTATAGAGCTCCATTTTTATGGAATGGTCTGCATATCCATGTGAGAGACGCAGACTCGGTCTCAACCTTTAAGTATTTACTGAAGACTCATCTCTTCAGCAGATCCTATGATTGAGTGTAGTCTGTCCCAGGAGTGCGAAGGCGAACGGCAAGGCACTGGAGCGACAAACCCCCCTTGCTGTCTCTGCCTGGCCGGCTCCCCTCTCTCCACTGGGATTCTCTGCCTCTGATCCTGTTACGGGGTTGAGTCACTGGCTTACTGTTGCTTTCCATGCCTTCCCTAGGAGGGGTGTGTCACTTGAGTGGGTTGAGGCACAGACGTGATCTTCCTGTCCGGTTTTGCGCCCCCTCGGGCTCGTGCGCTGGAGGAAATCTTAATGGGCTATACTCAGCCTTGTCTCATGGTAGTAAGTTGGTTGCCTGTTGGTATCGCTCTAGTGGTGTGGGGTTTGTGCTTTGGCAAAGTGGGTGGGGTTATATCCTGCCTGGTTGGCCCTGTCCGGGGGTATTGTCGGACGGGGCCACAGTGCCCCCCGACCCACCCGTCTCATTTTTTACATTTTAGTCATTTAGCAGACGCTCTTATCCAGAGCGACTTACAGTTAGTGAGTGCATACATTTTTCATACTCCAGTGTCTATGCTGCAGTAGTCTATGTGCCGGGGGGCTAGGGTCAGTCTGTTATATCTGGTGTAATTCTCCTGTTTTATCTGGTGTGCTGTGTGAATTTAAGTATGCTCTCTCTAATTCTCTCTCTCTCCATCCCCTCCCGGAGGACCTGAGCCCTAGGATCATGCCTCAGGACTACCTGGCCTGATGACTCCTGGCTGTCCCCAGTCCACCCGGTCGTGCTGCTGCTCCAGTTTCAACTGTTCTGCCTGCGGCTCTGGAACCCTGACCTGTTCACTGTACATGGTATCTTGTCCCGGACCTGCTGTTTTTTTACTCTCTCTCTCTGCCGCACCTGCTGTCTCAAACTCTGAATGGTCGGCTATGAAAGGCCAACTGACATTTACTCCTGAGGTACTGACCTGTTGCACCCTCTACAACCACTGTGATTATTATTTGACCCTGCTGGTCATCTATGAACGTTTGAACATCTTGAAGAACAATCTGGCCTTAATGGCCATGTACTCTTATAATCTCCACCCGGCACAGCCAGAAGAGGACTGGCCACACCTCAGAGCTAGGTTCCTGCCTTTCTAGGGAGTTTTTCCTGGCCACCTTCTACATCTGCATTGCTTGCTGTTTGGGGTTTTAGGCTGGGTTTCTGTATAGCACTTTGTGACATCTGCTGATGTAAAAAGGGCTTTATAAATACATTTGATTGATAGCAAAGGGTCTGAATAATTATGCAAATAAGCTATTTCTGTTTTTATTTGTTTTATTTAAATTTGCAGAAATGTATAAAAACCTGTTTTCGCTTTGTCATTATTGGGTATTGTGTGTACTGTAGATTGATTAGGAAATGTTTTTATTTAATCCATTTTAGAATAAAGCTGTAATGTAACAAGATATGGGGAAAATGAAGGGGTCTGAATACTTTCCGATTGCACTTTAAATGACTCATGATGTAATCTTAATTAGTATAAAATACACTTTGGGTCTGTACCTAGACTTTTGTGTAATAACAACAGCTATGAAAGAGATTATTCTGATTTACCTTCATTCCTCTTGGTCAGTTCCTCCACTTTGGATTTCAGCTGGACTTTCAGTTCCTCCACCTGGCTCTCACTGGCTGTTAGTCGGCTCTCACTGGCTGTCAGTCGGCTCTCACTGTCTCTCAGTCGGGCCTCCATGGCTCCCAGTTCAGTCTTTGTGTGACTCAGCTCAACTCTCTGCTCCGCCATCATGTTGCTCATCTCTCTCAGCACAGTGTGGATGTCAGGCTGGCAGGTTTGCTGGCTGTGTGTTGAGGCTGCAGCTTCAGCTCTCTGTTTGTCAGCCTGAATGTCATTCCCTCTGCTCTCTCTGTCCTCATAGTCAACCTGCTGGATCTCATTCACACTGACTCCATCTCTATCTCTGTGGACCTGGGCCCCAGACAGACAGCAGTGCAGCAACACCAGCAGAGATACAACACTCTTCATTGTCATTCCTGGATGATGATTTCCTCTTCTTGTGGTTATTTCTGCGGTTATTTTGGAGTCTCAGTTGTCCCCTTTATATCTAGTCCTCTTAAACTATGACCTGGTGATAACTGAGACACGTGTAGATATGAAGCCTAACAACAAGGTGGTAAATCAAACTGATTCACCTCATGATTACTTTTATCTGATTTCTGTGGTCCTGTAATAACCATGTGACACAGCAAACAGAACAAATAATGTCTAAATGTCAATAACATGTTTATAATATAATTACCTTTACCTTTTGGTCTCATTGGTTATTACCTCATTATATAGTATTCTAATCATTAGGTTAGGAAGTGAATGAATGATTTACAATAAAATATTTTCATCAACAAAGTAAAACAGTAATGTGCTCTCTCAGCAAAATTCATATCATGATATCCAGTATCATCAAGCCACAACTGAAAGACCTTTGTCTTGTGTTCATGGATGGTGGCAATGTTTACACGTTTTTGTTGAAGGTATCAGTGCTCACGTGTGCAGAAATGTGTGTGTGTGTGTGTGTGTGTGTGAGAGAGAGAGAAAGACAATGTGTATGACATGATTAGTTATCTTTCCTGTCTTTTGATGCTTTATTAAACAACACAGTGCTCACTAGTCTTCCAGGTACATTATTACACAACACAGTGCTCACTAGTCTTCCAGGTACATTATTACACAACACAGTGCTCACTAGTCTTCCAGGTACATTATTACACAACACAGTGTTCACTAGTCTTCCAGGTACATTATTACACAACACAGTGTTCACTAGTCTTCCAGGTACATTATTACACAACACAGTGCTCACTAGTCTTCCAGGTACATTATTACACAACACAGTGCTCACTAGTCTTCCAGGTACATTATTACACAACACAGTGCTCACTAGTCTTCCAGGTACTTTATTACACAACACAGTGCTCACTAGTCTTCCAGGTACATTATTACACAACACAGTGCTCACTAGTCTTCCAGGTACATTATTACACAACACAGTGCTCCACTAGTCTTCCAGGTACATTATTACACAACACAGTGCCACAGTCTTCCAGGTACATTTTAACACAACACAGTGTCACTAGTCCTCCCAGTACTTTATTACCACCACACAGTGCTCACTATTCTTCCGGTAGTTCTTACACAACACAGTGGTCACTATCCTTCCAGGTACATTATTACACAACACAGTGCTCACTAGTCTTCCAGTTACATTATTCACCACACAGCAGTGTTCACTAGTCTTCCCGGTACTTATTAACACAAACACAGTGTGTCCACTAGTCCTTCCAGGACTATTAACCAACACAGTGTTCACTATCTCCAGGTACATTTCAACCACCAGTGCTCCACTATTCCTTCCAGGTACATTATACCCAACACAGTGTTCACTAGTTCTTCCAGGTACATTATTACACACACAGTGCTCACTTAGTCCTTCCCCGGTACATTATTAACAACACAGTGTTTCACTAGTTCTTCCAAGGTACAATTATTAAACCAACACAGTGCTCACTAGTCTTCCAGGATACTTTATTAAACAACACAGTGGCTCACTTAGACTTCCAGGTACTTTATTAAAACAACACAAGTGCTCACGAAGTCTTCCAGGATACATTACTACACAACACAGTGCTCACTAGTTCTTCCAGGATAGTTATTACACAACACAGTGCTCACTAGTCGTCCAGTTACTTATTAAACAACACAGTGCTCAACGAGTCTTCCAGGTACATTTATTAAACAACACAGTGCTCACGTAGTTCCTTCCAGAGTACATTTAGTTACACAACACAGTGTTCACTAGTCCTTCCAGGTAACAATTATTACACAACAAGTGCCACTAGTCTTCGCAGGTACATCTATGCTTACACAACACAGTGTTCCACTAGTTCTTCCAAGTACTTTATTAAACAACCACAAGTGCTCACTTATCTTCCAGTGTACATTATTACAAACACAGTGCTCACTAGTCTTCCAGGTAGATTATTACAACAACACAGTGCTCACCTAGTCTTCCCAGGATACATTATTACACAAAAACAGTGGCCACTAGTCTTCCATGATAAGTTTCATTACACAACACAGTGGTCACTAGTCTTCCAAGCCTTTATAAAAATGTCTACTAGTCTCCAGGGTACTTATTACAACACGTGTTCAAGGTCCTTCCAAGCATTTTACACACACGTGCTCACTAGTCTCCAGGTACATTAATTACACAAAACATGCTCATGTCTTCGGTACATTATTAACCCAGTGCTCATTAGTCTCCATTCACTTTATTAACCAACACAGTGTCACAGTCTTCGATCTATACACAACCACAGTCTCACTAGTCTTCCGTGTACTATTAACACAACAGTGCTCATAGTTTCCAGGTACTTTATCACAACACAGTTCACTAGTCTCCAGGTAGTTTATTACAAAACAGTGTTCACTATCTCCAAGTTACTTTATTACGACACAGTGTATAGTTCCAGGACATTATTACAATCACAAGTGTACTTATCTTCCAGGACATAGTAACACAAAGTGCCCTTCACAATAGCCATTCAGTGTTTATTATCACAAAGCCGCCACTAAGACCTTTCAGGTACTTATGTTAAATCATGGTGGCACTAGTATTCATGTATTTTTAAAAACGGTATCACTATCATCCAGTGTTATACACAAATATGTGTCTAGTTTGGTGAATTATGAAACAGATGCTACTATCTTCCAGGTAAGATGTATTACATAGACACAGGCTATAGTTTCCAAGACACTTTATTACCAAACACGAGTGCTACTAGTTTAGGAAATTTTATCACAATAAGTTTCACTACTGTCTTTTGTACATTATTAAACAACACAGTGCTCACTAGTCTTCGCCAGGTAATATTCACAGACAGTGATTATAGATTTCTGGACATTATTCACAACAATGTATAGTCTTCCAGTAATTATTAACAACACAGTGTCACATCTTCCGTCATATACCAACACTGTTCATATGCTTCTACATTTCACACGTGCTACTAGTCTTCACTATTTACAACAAAGTTTTATCATAGTTAGGTACATTATTACAAAAGTGTAAGTTCCGATATTTATTAACAACACAGTGTTCAGTTAGATACTTTATTACAACACAGTGCTCATAGTTCCAGTACATATTAACAACACAGTGGCTCATAGTCTTACAGGTACATTTTACACAACACAGTGTCCTAGTCTTCCAGGGACTTATACACAACACAGTGTTCACTAGTCTTCCTGGTTTCTTATTATACAAACACAGTCTCACTAGTTTCCAGGTGCAAATTTTCAACCAGTTTTCCATAGTCTCCAGGTACATTATTACACAACACAGTGGGTTTTTAGCTTGCCATGTTTGAGTATATTATTTCTGTAGACCATGGTGTTCCATGTTGAAGGGTCCAGGTTTCCTGTTGACCAGGTGCCTGCTAGTGAGGCTGAGAAAGCCCCTTCCTGTCTGTGGGATAGAGATTAGTCTTTATTCTTCACTAACGTCAGACATACCTACATACACCAATAATATAATGTATCTTAGTCTAAATCACGTTGAAAATATTCAGATTAACTTAATCCTATCAACCATAATATAATGTATTCTAAACTCTGTTGAGAAGATGATTAATTTATCAATTCTTTTCCATAATAAACAAAATGTCCCTTCAAGGTAGAAGTGCAATAATGATTATATAATATTTCCAACAACGTAAAGACATTTGTCTGCTTCGATTAGCAATGTTATGTTTGTTTAACAAGCCCTACTGACCTTTGTCTGTATGTTTGGTGGCATGTTTGAGACAGATTGTAGAAGGATGACAGTACCAAGCAAAGAAGTGAGTGTGAGAGAAGTGTAGACATAAGTATCTTGCATTGAAGTACTTAAAAAACAAGGCACTAATCTGCCAGAGAGAGGAGAAGATTAAATGAATGATGAGAGAAAATCAGCATTTTTCTTAATTTATACAAACACAGTTCCACTAGTCTTCATCAAAGGAAATAATGACATTTTCTTAGATAAATGTGTTGTTCGATCCCGGAGCACCAAAAATTATGCGCGTATGATCTACATTTTCCTTTAGGTTGAATGTGTTATTATTTCAAGAAAATGTATTCTAATCATTAGTTATGGAAGCATATGAAGAATTTAATCATATATTTTCTGTCACAAAAAGGTCAGGTAGAAATTTGCTCCAGTATCAACAAACCCCACTTGAAAGACATTGTGTGTGTGTGTGTGTGTGTGTGTGTGTGTGTGTGTGTTAGACGAAAGATGAGGAAAAAGTGGCTCAGGTTTTACAGGGTCTCAATGGAGGCCTTTATTCCAATTAGACAAAGAAGTCATGAACAGCAGTTATTTTGAATGTCATTCTTTTCCAAACTGTGTCATTTACACACAACACAGGTACACTTCCAAAACCCCAGGTCATATAGTAAGAAGTTCTAGGGTTGCAAAATTACAGTAACTTTCCCAACAATCCTGGTTGGAATGTTCCCTGAATCAGGAGTGAATATGCAGAATATCCAGGGAATCCTCCCGACAGTGATTTGGGGAAAATCTGGACATTCTGAGAAAGTAAACCGGAATTTTGCAATCCTAAATTATATATTTTTTTACACAGTCGACATGATGGAATGAATCTTTAATACGTTAGTGATTGTTTCCCCAAGTTTCTAACGCTCACCGTCAAGTCAAACATCATTTCACTACTATCAAACATCTGTACACACACACACAGGATGCGTCCCAAATGTTACCCCGTTCATTCCCTTTATAGTGCACTGCTTTTGACCAGAGCAGGGAATAGGGTACCATTTGAGACAAACACACTACAGCTGTACATATTTTTCAATAGAACGTTCATTTATTAATGGTTGCCTTATTCTCCACCAGTCACAGTACCATTTCTGTATTTTCAAGCTGAAATCTTCTTAAAACCAGAGAAGCAGAATAGTTTTGGTATGATGGCTGAAGTAAAACCATGAGTCTGTGTCTGCATCCCAAATGGCACCCTATTCCCTATATAGTGCACTACCTTTGGCCAGAAGCAGTGCACTTTATAGTGAATAGGGTGCCACGTTAGACACAGCCAGTGTGTAGAACGGACTGCTTCACAGAGGAGAGAGAGGGTCTGTACTTTAGAGAGGGATCATTCACACACACAGGGGAGCTGTAACAGGAGGCACGAGGCTCCCACATACAGTAGCTCAATACATGACATACCAGTACATACACACTGCATCTCTATGGCACCCTATTCCCTACATAGGGCACTACTTTTGACCAGGGCCCATAGGGAGTATAGTGAATAGGGTGCCATTTGGGATGCAAGCCCATTCTCCCAGCTCTGTACAGTGGAAACAGCAGAGGGAGACAAAGCGTGTGTGTGAGTGTGTGTGTGTGTACGTGCCTGTGGAAGGGCTACAGCAGGCAGGTAGCCTAGTGGTTAAGAGCGTTGGGCCAGTAACTGAAAGGTTGCTGGTTCGAATCCCCGAGCCAACTAGGTGAACAATCTGTTGATGTACCCTTGAGCAAGGCACTTAAACCTAATTGCTCCTGTAAGTCGCTCTGGATATTCAGTCATTGAGCCAGTCTACCCTCCATTCAGCCAGTCTACCCTCCATTCAGCCAGTCTACCCTCCATTCAGCCAGTCCACCCTCCATCCATTCAGCCAGTCCATCCTCCATTCAGCCAGTCTACCCTCCATTCAGCCAGTCTACCCTCCATTCAGCCAGTCCACCCTCCATCCATTCAGCCAGTCCATCCTCCATTCAGCCAGTCCATCCTCCATTCAGCCAGTCTACCCTCCATTCAGCCAGTCTATCCAGGCGAGAGTCTAGCTCAGGTATCGACCATAGTAATCCAGTGTATGGACAGTCAGGATTGGATTTTGCCTTTTGCAGAAAGTCCCACAAAACCAGTCATGGAGAGAGGAGCAGGAAGGGGGGAAGCATCATCCAAATTTGCTGCTAAGTGCAAAGAGTCTCAACTTGAGTTTTATTGGTTGTGTTTAATAAGTCCTTGTCTTACAGGTTTGGTTCGCGGGAGATGGATTCTGAGGCGTGAATGACTACAGGTTAGAGGGAGGTGAGTTGGACCGGTCTCGCCTGGGTTGGGTTGAGAGCTCTGCATAATCATGGTGGTGATGGGTGTTCAGAGAGGAGGCCTGGGTTGGAATTCATTACAGCACAACGTTACGAAGCGTTTTACAACGGAAAACAAAAACAAGTGTTCACGTAGTCCCTCTCCGTTTCGGCCGTTTGCTTCCGTGTCGTTCCTAGTGAACATCACCTCGCGTCTCTACCGGTGTAGGGTGAAGATGCCCCTAGACGCTGATCTGGGGTCAGTTTAGCATTTCCTCCACTAATGGTTAAGGTTAGGATTGGGGGGGGGGGAACTGATCCTAGACCTGTACCCAGGGGAAAGGTCACCCCTCTGGCGTCTACCTAAAGATGCCCTCGTACTCCAGCAGGATGAGCTCTACTATCTGGTTCTGATAGACCATGTGGACCGCCATGTTCCACGTCTCTGTCTCGGGTCTGAGGAGGGTGGGGCCGAACACTATGGCCACGCTCTGGGTCGTCATACGGTTCTCCTCACCGTGGTCAATCACCCTGCGGACAGAGAGAGGAGCACTATAGTTAACGGCTACATCATTATATATGCAACATCATATAGCTACAACTCAAATCACCCTGCGGACAGAGAGAGAACAAGTTTGTATTGATTTATTTAACCAGGCAGGTCAATTAAGAACAACTTCATATTTACATTGACGGCCTGGCAAGAGGAGATACAAGTACAAGCAAAGTAACAGTATGAGACAGGGGGGAGGGTTAGAGTTATAGCATTGGACTGTACATAAATATATCTGGAAAATCTGAGAATTTGGGGAAAGTTACTGGAATCTTGCAACTCTCAATATGAATGAGGCGAAGACAATCAGATCATATTGTAATTTAGTTAACTGTGCAGGTTTGACTAACCTCCTGAGGTGTTTGAAGAGGACCTGCATAGTGTCCTGATTGGGTTTTGGCAACTGTTTGACCCGCTCCTTGACGGACTGGACACGCTGCTTGTAGTCTGGGATCTCTGTTGAGCAGACAGGAACATCAACAGGGGGACTATTCATTACTGCACACCGTAAGAAAACGTTTTGCAACCGATAACCAAAACAAGCTTACAAGCTTATCTCATTGGACAACTTCAGCTTGTCCCTTCCTGTTTAGCAAGAAGAACAACAACAGGCTTCACATTCAGACAACACACAGGGTGATACCTATTTACTCATCTTTAATGTGATGTAGCGCCATCCAATGGATAAATATAACATTTACCACAATTCAGTAACAGAAATGAAGATGGATACTAATAAAACATGAAGTAAAGATTTAAACTATTAGAATGGAGTAGCCAGGATGCATTGTGGATGTATAGTTGTTATTGTGCTCATAATAATAACAACAATGGGAATATTATGTACTCACTGATGGCGTTGACAAAGTCATGGAATAGTCCATATGTGAAGAGGGGTTCAGGCAGCTCTCTGAAGAACATCTTCAACGCTCCTGTAGTCACATGGATATCCTCCCACTTCCCTTCCTCCAGGTCCACCTTCTCATCTACACACACACACACACACACACACGCGCACACACACACACACACAGGGTTATTCAGTATACTACAGGTCCATGGATACCCAGGCTGCCAGTATACAGATAGAGAGAGGGAACAGTAGCAGTAGTAACTACCATGATTGACAGCGAAGCGTAGTTTCTGGATGATCGCCAGGTTCCCACTCACTCTGTACAGCCCGTCCACGTTCAGAGCTGCAGACAGAGGAACACAGAGGAGAGCTCCATCACACAACCATTCAAAGTTGTATTTAATAAAAGGTGATCGACGTTCTGATAGCCTTACATATTTAGTTACTGTTTTTCAAAAGGACATGTGTAAGGGTGATAGATACAGAGGGACACAGAAAGGATTTAAGGGCAGCGACCAAACGGCCGAGCCGGGGCTCAAATCCCTGTTGCCAGGGGGATGTGTGGTCCGGAGTCAGCAGCTCAGACAGCTACACCAGGCACATCACATTCAACTCACCACACCACTGTCACGATGAGAGACAACCGAGTCAGACACAGTCAGATAGGAGGAGCACACCTACCGTTGTTTTCCACGTGGTCGATGCACATGGTGACGAAGCTTGGCACAGATGCGTTCTCTCTCTGACAGAGGTCACTCAGACTGCAGCCAAACACCTGGTCTGAGACGCACAGACATCAACATGGTTATTATTATAGAGGTCCAAAGTACTCCCCTACTGGAAAATAATAAAATTCCCTTTTCTGGTAACTTTCTGGTAACTGTCCCAAAATGTCCAGGTTTTCCAGAAATCCTGGTTGGAAGCTTCTAGATTATAATTTCCTTCTGATTCCGGGACTCTTCCTAACCTGGATTTCTGGAAAACCTGGGAAAGTTATCACAATTCTACAACCCTAACGCTCTTTGTAATACCTTTGATATAGCCCTTGTCTCTGACTGTCTGCAGAGTGGGTCTGCGTGTCAGGAACTTCTTCAGCTTGATTCTGGTCTTCTTGTTGTCCGACGCGTCCATACTGGTGGAACTCTTCATGGCTAAAGACCAATGACAACGGGAGATGACTTAACACCCTGACACACATAGGGACAGTTTCCCGGACACAAATCAAGCCTAGTCCTCGACTAAAAATATATTTTTATTGGAGGTTCTCCATTGAGTCATCTTTTTAGTCCTGGACTGCTGACCTATTATGATCAACAGAAACATCCTTAGTAGACAAAGAGGAGTGATCTGAAACAGACAGACATGGTCCTCTGACCTCGGCTCTTCTTAGAGTCTCTGTGCTCTCTCTCCTTGTCTTGTTTCTCCAGTCCAGGAGACTCTGGCATGTCCTCCTCTATAGCCTCATCTGACTCCCAGGCCTATGGTAGGTAACACAACACACACACGGAAACAGGAAGTGGACAGTCAGGAACACACAAAAAACAGGTAGGCTACCTTTGGACTGGCCCAATGACTAAACATGACAACTCTGCCACTTAGTGGATAGATGTGGAACTGCGGTGGAAATCACACAACCGTGTGTGTGCACGCGCGCAGACTCACGTGTGTGCTGATGGTGTCCATCAGTGCCCTGTACCATTCGTTGATGACGACGTCGTTCTCTGACTGGATCAGCAACTCTGTACTCTGATGGGTTTTCAGCTGCAAGGAGACCAAGAAGTTGACTTTACTACCAGGTTAAAGAGTACATGTTAGTGGCTTGTAGAATTGATTGATTTATATTTTTTATTTAAGTGTCATACACCTACCGGTGTCGAGCCCACATGGGCTTACAAGATGTTACTAAACACAACAGCAACAAAAATATTGTTCCTTGTACACAAACAAAATAATTTAAAATGTATACCCATACCATAATCACATACCATAATCACATCCCATAATCATATGAATAATCATAATATTGTGCAGAGACATTACTTTCCAACATGAAATAATCTTCCCTGCCTTTAGCGTGCCACCTGGTCGTGCTGCTGCTCCAGTTTCAACTCTTCTGCCTGCGGCTGTGGAACCCTGACCTGTTCACCGGATGTGCTACCTTGTCACCGACCTGCTGTTTTCAACTGACATTTACTCCTGATGTACTGACCTGCTGCAACCTCTACAACCACTGTGATTATTATTATCATCTATGAACGTTTGAACATCTCGAAGAACAATCTGGCCTTAATGGCCATGTACTCATATAATGTCCACCCGGCACAGCCAGAAGAGGACTGGCCACACCTCCGAGCCTGGTTCCTCTCTAGGTTTCTTCCTAGGTTCCTGCCTTTCTAGGGAGTTTTTCCTAGCCACCGTGCCTCTACATCTGCATTGCTTGCTGTTTGCGGGTTTTAAGCTGGGTTTCTGTATAACACTTTCTGATGTAAAAAGGGCTTTATAAATACATTTGATTTGCACATGTTCTACAGTCATAGTGCTACGGCCCTGATAGAATTAAGCAACAAGGCCCGAGGGGGTGTGGTATATGTCCAATATACCACGGCTTAGGGCTGTTCTTAGCCACGACGCAACGCGGAGTGCCTGGATACAGCCCTTAGCCGTGGTATATTGCCCATACACCACAAACCCCCGAGGTGCCTTATTGCTATTATAAACTGGCCACCAACGTAATTAGAACAGTAAAAAGATCCCCGTGGTATACGGTCTGATATAGCATGGCTGTCAGCCAATCAGCATTCAGGGCTCGAACCACCCAGTTTATAATTGGGGACATATTAACGTTTTGTAGTGTCAGAGCCCTCTCACCTCAATGACATGTTTCTTGCTTGACTTGTCCTTGGAAGCCCATTCTATAGATCCTCCTCTCAGGTCCACAGTGAACTCTGGTTTAGACTGGCTTCCTCCAAACTACAAGGAGAGAGTAGAAACACACCAGACAGACAGAGAGAGACAGAGAGAGAGACAGAGAGAGAGACAGAGAGAGTGGAGCTTGTCAAACCCACTGTCAACCCAGAGGGTTGTTGCTGAGATATCAGGATACTGTTGTGTCTTAGAGAATCATCCGCTAGACTACAGGTACATCACTGAGTTTGGTCTATGACTGTCCCAAATGGAAACCTATTCCCTATATAGTGCACTACTTTTGACCAGAGCCTTATGGGGTAGTATAGTAGTGCACTATACAGGAAATAGGGTGCCATATGGGACACAAGCCTAAGAAACCCACTTCCTACATCGAACCCATTGACTTGACTGTCTGACCCCCTTCCCTCTTCAAGGATGCCAACCTACAGTAGTCAGACCTACCCCCTCCCTCTTCAAGGATGCCAACCTACAGTAGGGTCAGACCTACCCCCTTCCTCTTCAAGGATGCCAACCTACAGTAGTCTGACCTACCCCCTCCCTCTTCAAGGATGCCAACCTACAGTCCTGTCTGAACTACCCCCTCCCTCTTCAAGGATGCCAACCTACAGTAGTCAGACCTACCCCCTCCCTCTTCAAGGATGCCAACCTACAGTCCTGTCTGAACTACCCCCTCCCTCTTCAAGGATGCCAACCTACAGTCCTGTCTGAACTACCCCCTCCCTCTTCAAGGATGCCAACCTACAGTCCTGTCTGAACTACCCCCTCCCTCTTCAAGGATGCCAACCTCAGTAGTCAGACCTACCCCTCCCTCTCAAGGATGCCAACCTACCAGTCTGTAACTACCCCCCCCTTCAAGGATGCCAACCTACAGTCCTTCAACCCCCCCCCTTCAGGATGAACCAACACAGTCCTCTGAATACCCCCTCCCTCTTCAAGGATGCACCAACAATCACACTCATCTCAGGACCACCTCTCCTTTAAGGAGCAACCACAGTCCGTCAGAGTCCCACCTGTAAGGACCAACACGCCGTCTGGAATACCCCTCATCAGGAGCAACCCTACCCATGGACACACGTCCTCTCAGGATGCCAACCCTTAAGCATCAGAGATACCCTCCTCTTCAAGGATGACCAACACAGTAGTGACTACCACTCCTCTTCAGGATGCCAAATCGGTGACCCCTTTTCAAGGGCAACACAGAGGTAGACCTACCCTTTTTTCAGGTGCAACCTACGGAAAGAGAGCCACAACATATGGGAGGAGGGTGGGAGAGGAGGGAGGGGTAAAGGAGAAGGGGGAGAGGAGGGATGGGGAGAGGAGAGGGATGGAGGAGAGGAGAGAGGAGTGGAGAGAGGGAATGGAGGAGAGGAGAGAGTGGGGAGGAGGGTGGGAGGGAGGGGGTGGAGGAGAGGAGGAGGGAGGAGAGGAGGATGGGGGGGGGATGGGAGGAGGAGGATGGGGAGAGGAGGGATGGGGAAGGGGAGGAGGGAGATGGGGGAGAGGGGGAGGGGAGTGATGGGAGAGATGGGGGAGGAGGGAGGAGAGAGAGGAGGATGGGGGTAGAGGAGGGTGGAGAGAGAGGAGGATGGGGAGAGGGAGATGGGGGAGAGGAGGGGATGGAGGGAGGGGGGGAGTGGGGGAGGGATGGGGGCGGGAGGATGGGGGAGAGGGAGTGGAGAGAGGGATGGGGGAGAGGAGGATGGGGAGGGGGATGGGGGGGAGGGGGGAGGGGGGTTTGTGTTTTGTTTGGGAGAGATGGGGGAGGAGGGATGGGAGAGGAGGGAGTAGAGGTGGGATGGGTAGGGGGGAGAGGAGGGGGATGGGAGGGAGGTGGGGGAGAGGAGGGATGGGTAGGGAGGATGGGGAGGAGGGATGGGGGAGAGGAGGAGGGGAGAGGAGGTGTTGGGGGGATGGGGGGGAGAGGAGGGATGGGGGGGTTTGGGTGATGAGGATGGGGGAGGGGGGAGGGAGGGGGAAGGGAGAGTTGGGGAGAGGGGGGTGGGGAGATGGAGTGAGGGGGTGGGAAGAAATGGGTGGGTGGAGGGGGAGAGGGGATTGGGGGATGGGGGATGGGAGAGAGGAGAGATGGGGAGAGGGGATGAAAAATGGGGGAGAGAGCATGGGACGGGGGATGGAGGGGGAGAGATGGGGAAGCATGGCAGCAGGGGGTCGTGACTGGGTTGGAGAGGGAATGGGGGGTGGGTGGAGGGATGAATAGGAGATGGGGAGAGGCCTGAAGTTCGGTAGACTATGATGGCTGAGTGAGGGAGGTGACAGTAGTGGATGGAAGCTGGTGGGAGCAGGGCTTGGGGAGAGGAGCAGACAGAAAGATGGCAGAGAGGAGGCATGAGGGTTTTAGGAAGTGGGCAGAGGACTGACTTAGGAGATAGACCCTGGACAGGCCGGACGATTGGGAATAGACAGGAACAACAGGGGGGGAGGGGTGGAGCGAATGCACCATCAGTGTCTGACCGAGCAAGTGCACAGGAGCCTGAACCTAGACGACTCCAAACCCACAGCACTACAAGATAACAACACAAATCACCAGCTGGTCCCACCCCACCCTTTTACAATACAACACCATAACCCAGCTGGTCCCGCACCCCTGACTTTAGCGATACACACACTCACCAGCTGGTCCCGCACCCCTGACCTTTAGCGAACTACTCGACGACCCATCAGCCCTCACCAGCTGTCCCCCCTGGTTAGTGAAAGCAGCGGGAGCCTGGGAGAACCGTCCAGGCTGACGTTCCATCTTCCGTAAAACACACACACACACACAAAAACATAACATACAGACATAGCTCCATAAGTCATCTTACATCATGTTGTATCAACTAACACTTCATATACAGCTGGTCCGATATCACTCCCTACCCATTCCCTAGGCCGTAACTCTTCAATGTTTGCAGATCTGTAAGGTGGAAGCAATATGGGGGGGGGGGGGGGGTTCAATTTTAACTGTCTGGTTGTGTTGCCCTGAAGGAGCAGTTTCTCTACAGGTGTTCTCATCCTGTTCCTATCCTAGTCCAGTACTACTCACCCTACTTTCTGCAGGTGTTCTCATCCTGTTCCTATCCTAGTCCAGTACTACTCACCCTACTTTCTGCAGGTGTTCTCATCCTGTTCCTATCCTAGTCCAGTACTACTCACCCTACTTTCTACAGGTGTTCTCATCCTGTTCCTATCCTAGTCCAGTACTACTCACCCTACTTTCTACAGGTGTTCATCCTGTTCCTATCCTAGTCAAGTACTACTCACCCTACTTTCTACAGGTGTTCTCATCCTGTTCCTATCCTAGTCCAGTACTACTCACCCTACTTTCTACAGGTGTTCATCCTGTTCCTATCCTAGTCAAGTACTACTCACCCTACTTTCTACAGGTGTTCATCCTGTTCCTATCCTAGTCAAGTACTACTCACCCTACTTTCTACAGGTGTTCATCCTGTTCCTATCCTAGTCCAGTACTACTCACCCTACTTTCTACAGGTGTTCATCCTGTTCCTATCCTAGTCAAGTACTACTCACCCTACTTTCTGCAGGTGTTCTCATCCTGTTCCTATCCTAGTCCAGTACTACTCACCCTACTTTCTGCAGGTGTTCTCATCCTGTTCCTATCCTAGTCCAATACTACTCACCCTACTTTCTACAGGTGTTCATCCTGTTTCCTATCCTAGTCAAGTACTACTCACCCTACTTTCTACAGGTGTTCTCATCCTGTTCCTATCCTAGTCCAGTACTACTCACCCTACTTTCTACAGGTGTTCATCCTGTTCCTATCCTAGTCAAGTACTACTCACCCTACTTTCTACAGGTGTTCATCCTGTTCCTATCCTAGTCAAGTACTACTCACCCTACTTTCTACAGGTGTTCATCCTGTTCCTATCCTAGTCCAGTACTACTCACCCTACTTTCTACAGGTGTTCATCCTGTTCCTATCCTAGTCAAGTACTACTCACCCTACTTTCTGCAGGTGTTCTCATCCTGTTCCTATCCTAGTCCAGTACTACTCACCCTACTTTCTGCAGGTGTTCTCATCCTGTTCCTATCCTAGTCCAATACTACTCACCCTACTTTCTACAGGTGTTCTCATCCTGTTCCTATCCTAGTCCAGTACTACTCACGCTACATTCTGCAGGTGTTCTCATCCTGTTCCTATCCTAGTCCAGTACTACTCACCCTACTTTCTGCAGGTGTTCTCATCCTGTTCCTATCCTAGTCCAGTACTACTCACGCTACATTCTGCAGGTGTTCTCATCCTGTTCCTATCCTAGTCCAGTACTACTCACCCTACATTCTGCAGGTGTTCCCATCTTGTTCCTATCCTAGTCAAGTACTACTCACCGTACTTTCTTTCCATGCTCAGTGATCTTGGTCACGTTGAGAATACCACACTTCTCCGAAGGCTGCAGAGAAACAAAGAGAGAAGTAATTGTCACATGAAGACAGGGCCAGACACAACTGACAGGGAAAAAAGCAAGACATAGTCTGCGTCCCAAATGACACTATTTCTTATACAGTGCACAACTTTTGAGTAGTGCACTATATAGGGAATAGGGTGCCATTTGGGACACAGATATACAACACGCAGACCAAACAAACAGACAGAAAGAGTAGAGATACAGTAGACCGTCAGAAAGTAGTTACAGTAGACCATCAGAAAGTAGTTACAGTAGACCGTCAGAAAGTAGAGATACAGTAGACCGTCAGAAAGTAGTTACAGTAGACTGTAAAAGTAGTTACAGTAGACCATCAGAAATATAAGCTTTAGTATGACAACACCCTTTCCCTATAGTTTGAATTGAAAAATAGATTTTCCCACAGCTCAGTCCGTGTTACTTTCATCAACATCACCGGGATCATCATCATCATCATCAGGATTATCATCGTCATCACTGGGATCATCATTATCATCAGAATCATCATCAGGATTATCATCATCATCGCCGTCATCATCATCATCACCATCATCAGCATCATCATCATCATCACCACCATCAGCATCATCATCATCGTCATCACCAGGATCATCATCGTCATCATTATCATGACCATCACCAGGATTATCATCACCACTATCATCATGATCAGTTCCAGTGCAGGGAGAAGAAACACAGAGTCACCATTGAAGACTGCAATTGAGAAAAGGCCTAGAGGCCTTGGTCGACAAGTACGGATGTCAGGAAGCCAGCCACAGTTCAGGGCAGGGGGGAGAGGAGTATACAGAGAACAGAGGGAGAGGAGGAGGAGAAGGAGAAGGAGAGGGGGATACTAACAGAGGTAGGGGGCTTGTGGGACGAGGGGTCTGAGGAATCCGAGTCTGGAGAGCCAGGGACCTTGGGGCCCAACGCACCGTCCTAGTAATCAGAATGACAACAACACCGACTAATTACTACAGAGAACTGCAGAGACTCAGACCTGGGTTCAAATACTATTTAAAATCTTTCAAATATGTTTAGTGTTTGCTTTAGCCTGCCTGGAGTGTCAGATGGGCAGAGTTTGTGCTTTTGCATTTATTCTATTGATTCCACTGTGCCAGGCAATTTCAATCAAGCACAGAGAATGTATATGGTTAGAGGAGTAAACCAACACTGAATCAGTGTTTACATGAACCACAAGAGTTGAGGAAATGGTTGAATGTTAATTAGGTATTCTTTCAAAATAACAATTAAACCATGCATTCAATGACAAGATATGATCCATTTCAATTAATGTAGCTCAAATCATACTACTGACAGAGAAAGGAGAGGTTGATAGATTATAGATCCCAAACAGGTTTACGGTCACAGGCATCATTGGGCCAGTAGAAGTGATCATTGGGCCAGTAGAAGTAATAATTGGGCCAGTAGAAGTGATAATTGGGCCAGTAGAAGTGATCATTGGGCCAGTAGGAGTGATCATTGGGCCAGTAGAGGTGATCATTGGGCCAGTAGGAGTGATCATTGGGCCAGTAGGATTGATCATTGGGCCAGTAGGAGTGATCATTGGGCCAGTAGAAGTGTCAGGTGAATCAGAAGAGCAGGAATTAAAAAGGAAGGAGGACGCTGTGGCACTCAGGTGATGGCAAGCAACAAGGAACGTGATTGGTCTGATTGGATGAGATCATTCTTGCGCTCTGTGATTATCATGCAAGATGATTGGCTGCTGGGATTTGAGGGTGGGGTGTATAGGGCACTGACTTGTGTCTGTCTGTAGGGGTGGGGGCGACCAGAGCCCGTACGGAAACGCCTGTTGTTTTTGATGAGCCGCTGCAGAACAGAATCATGAGTCTACAGTGTGTCCCAAATGGCACCCTATTCCCTATTGTGACGCCTGTTGTTTTCCACATACAGGGAACAGGATGCCACACCTCACATTCTAAAACACACTCGCTGGACAAGATACTTCAGAGACCTGGCTGGAATATAAATGATTGCTATGGAATTAGGGTTGTATGAAGTACATCCTTTTCCAACTGCTGTGGACGTCTGAGATTGATAGTAGCAACAGGCTACTGCATCTCAGTCACTATTTGCAGTCTGCTTCCCAACAGAGTATACGTCCCAAATGGCACCCTATCCCCTATATAATGCACTACTACCAGAGACCACTCCTATGGGTCCTGTTCAAAAGCAGTGGACTATATATTGAGACACACCCAGAATGGCTGGGCGGGCCGTGACAGGGCGTCTGTCTCACCTTGTCGTTGGTGTCCAGCACGTTGGTGCTGTTTCTCCACTTGGTCAGGACGATGGGGTCTACATGTTTCCTGTCCAGACTGCGGCTCTTAGGGGTCCCGTCTCCTCCACCAGGCAGAGGAGGGGGGGAGTGGTTGTACTGCAGAGAGGAGAGAGGAGGGGAAAACATTGTAGAGGTACTTATAAACACCAATACTAACACTCACTAATATGAAACTAATAAGCCTAAATCATTTTGGGGACAAGCAATCAATCCAAACCATTAAATTAAAACAGTGAGGTAGTGTACATGGCCTTACCTTGGGCAGCTCCCACTCTGACCTGGAGCCATCAGCACTGTAGTAGTAGGGTCTGCCCTGTTCATCAACATGCTTTATCCACTGGACACACACACACACACACACACACACACACACACACACACGAGATGAGATGAGGAACCACTCACAGACACACCAATTTACTATAACATGATGTTCAAGAAGCCAGAACTCTCTCTCTGGTGAGCGGTCTATGAGCCATGCTAAATATGTGATAGTAGTGTGGTGCAGTGGTCCAGTCTAAGTGAAATATAAACACTATACGTGACAGTACAGACTTGTCTGTAAATCAGCAGAGAGAGACCAATTGCCTGACAACCCCACACATTGATCACACATTTTATCTCTGTCTGTTGGTTTGGTCAAAGAGAGAGATCAATAGAGAGAGAGAGAGAGACAGATCAATAGAGAGAGAGAGACAGATCAATAGAGAGAGAGAGAGAGAGAGATCAATAGAGAGAGAGAGAGAGAGATCAATAGAGAGAGCAAGCTATCAATAGAGTGAGAGAGATACATAGAGAGAAACAGAGACCCCGGTACCTTCTCATTAGTATAGTCATTGACATACAGAGTGTGTCCATGCTCATCCAGCTCTTCTGACCAACCCCGGGGCGGGAAGCCGTACTGGCTGTCTGATTGGCTAGAATATGTGCTGTGGCCGTTGTCCTCCAACAACAGAGGCTGGAACCGACCAATGGAGAGCGAGAGGAGAGGAAGGAAGGACGGGGAGAGAGAGAGCGGTGGAGTCATCTATGATTAGGGAGGGAAACGGGAGAGGGAGGGAGAGGGGGAGGCAGAGAGAAAGGGAGAGAGAGAAGGATAGAGGGAGGAGAGAGAGATAAATAGAGAGAGAGGGATAGAGAGAGAAGAGAGAGAGATAGAGCGGATAGAGGGAAGAGAGAGAGAGATAAATAGAGAGAGAGAGGGATAGAGAGAGGAGAGAGAGAGGGATAGAGGGAGGAGAGAGAGAGGGATAGAGGGAAGAGAGACGGATAGAGGGAGGAGAGAGAGAGATAAATAGAGAGAGAGAGGGATAGAGAGAGGAGAGAGAGACGGATAGAGGGAAGAGAGAGATGGATAGAGGGAGAGAGAGAGAGATCCTAGAGAGGAGGGATAGAGAGGGAGAGAGAGGAAGATGGAGAGGGCGATAGAGGGAGAGAGCGGTATGAGAGAGATGAGAGAGACGGTAGAGGAGAAGAGAGATAGGATGGAGAAGAGAGATAGAGAGAGGAGAGAGAGATGGATAGAGGGATAGAGGGAGGAGAGAGAGCGGCATAAAGGGAGGAGAGAGAGAGAGATAGCGAGAAGGACCAATCACCATTGAGAATAGAAAGCACCAAATCAGCAGTCACGATGAATCACAGTCAGCGCTATAGAGGTCACCGTCACCCATAATGTACCGCCAAGAATACTGAAGCCACTTACGGCACCAGTCCTGGGTTCAAATACTTTAACATTTGCTCTTGCCTGCCTGTAGCCCAGATGAGAGGGGTTTGCAGCTTTGGGATTAAAGGGATACTTCGGGATGTTGGCAACGAGGCCCCTTTAACTACCTTCATACTGGACACAGAGACATAAAAATGGTATCCACGAGTTCATCTGACTCTGGGGAAGTAGATAAAGGGCCTGATTGCCAACATCCAGAAGTATCCCTTTAAAAGGCAAACTCCACTCAAAAACGATATTTTTGTATTTTTTTTCCATTAGTCCAATGATACAGTCCCAAAATGTTTTGATGTCAGCAGTCAAGTTTTCAAGATATTGAAATATTTGCATCGTCATGGTGATGCAGCCGGTGACACTTTGCTTCTTGAAAGTCCAATATCTTGAAAACTTGACTGTTGACATGCAAACCATTTTTGGGACCGTATCAACAGTGGACTAATGAAAAAGTCCATTAAGCCAGGAAAACTCAAATCAAGCACAGGTATTCAATCAAATTGTATTTGAACCCAGGTCTGCAAAGCACAGAGAGCCAAAGATACCATAAGCGTCAAAGCACTGCACCCTACTCAGTCTGAACACTGTTACTGTGTGTGGATAGACAGAGGATACTGTAGTGACAACAAACGAGGTTGGGACCGTCACAGTTTGAGGAGCACTGACTGCTTCTGGCCACAGGGTGGCAGTGTGGCGCTATTATCATCATTCTAGAGACCACCGCAAAACATACTGTTTCTGTGATCCTGCCGGAATGCAGCAGTGATTCTTTCTGTCTAATGTGTTTGGATGGGCGTGTTTTAGAGCACAAGCACATATAAATCATGATTATTCATAAATGCATTTACTTGTGTCTGTGCCTATGTGTGAGTTTGAGTAAGTGTGTGTGTGTGTGTGTGTGTGTGTGTGTGTTTCCAACACATGTCCCAGTACATACCTCTGTCTCCCCAGTGCTATTGCTGTGGGATTCACCGCGGCTGCTGCTGCCACTGCTAGCGTCTCTGGCTCGGGGAGGCTTCCATGTTCTCTCCTGGGTGGAACAGTTGTAGTAGTACTGTCTGCCGCTCTGGTCCTTGAAATTGAATTGAATTTAAATCTACAATATATCAGCTCGTGGTTAAAAACAGTCAAATGACATACACAGATCAGACAACATTACATTTACATTTACGTCATTTAGCAGACGCTCTTATCCAGAGCGATATACAGCATACATCCCAAATGGCACCCTATTCCCTATTTAGTGCACTACTTTTGACCAGGGCCCTATGGGCCCCGTAGTGCACTAAATATGTAATAGGATGCCATTTGGGACGCACCCGTAGACAATACCTAAGTCACAATCCATGACACAGTGGCAGTAGTAGTACAGACCTTATGTGTCTCCCAGTCCCCCAGGACGTGCTGCGGGGAGCTGGAGGGGTCGGGGGGCAGGCTGGACCCAGAGATCTTCAGCTCCTGGAGGTTAGTGTAGACAGGAGACTCAGGACGACCACTCTGACCCGACAGAGAGACGGTCTGGATAAGAGGAGAGAGATGGGTTGGAAAATACATGAATGACTTGTCTGAATCTTGACGTGAGCCACTTCAAACTCTTGAGAGAGAAAGAGAATGAACAGACATAGCCTGATTAATAACTCTGGGCACTACTTATAGAATGAACGCTAACATCATTATGTGCAGGTCAGGACCAATTTTTTAATGACAACACACAGTCTCAAATTGCCCTTTTCTCTAGTGTGTCTCTAAACCACCATGGGTTAGTAATAGACGTATTGGTGAACACTTGACTGACAGGGATCGACATAAATGCTTGTCCGCTTGCCTGGACAAGTTAAAAATAAATAAAAAATACGCAAAAAACGCTATATCAAACAATTCGGCGACTGATCAGAATTGGATCAGTGTCCTCCAGATGCAATGTCTTGCACACGGTCCTCCCAATACCTGCAGAGCGCATGAGAGACTGCATGAGAGAGAGATTTGAACAGCAGGTAAATAAACTCAGCAAATAAAGAAACGTCCTCTCACTGTCAACTGTGTTTATTTTCAGCAAACTTAACATGTGTAAATATTTCTATGACCATAACAACATTCAACAACTGAGACATGAACAACTGAACAAGTTCCACAGACATGTGACTAACAGAAATTGAATAATGTGTCCCTGAACAAAGGGGGGGGGGGGGGGGGGGTCAAAATCAAAAGTAACAGTCAGTATCTGGTGTGGCCAACAGCTGCATTAAGTACTGCAGTGCATCTTCTCCTCAATGGACTGCAACCAAATTTGCCAGTTCTTGCTGTGAGATGTTACCCCACTCTTCCACCAAGGCACCTGCAAGTTCCCAGACATTTCTGGTGGGGGAATGGCCCTAGCCCTCACCCTCCGATCCACAGGTCCCAGATGTGCTCAATGGGATTGAGATCCGGGCTCTTTGCTGGCCATAGCAGAACACTGACATTCCTGTTTTGCAGGAAATCATGCACAGAACGAGCAGTATGGCTGGTGGCATTGTCATGCTGGAGGTTAATGTCAGGATGAACCTGCAGGAAGGGTACCACAGTCACGGTGAAGTAAATCAACCACAGTCACGGTAAAGTAAATCAACCACAGTCACGGTAAAGTAAATCAACCACAGTCACGGTGAAGTAAATCAACCACGTCACGGTAAAGTAAATCAACCACAGTCACGGTGAAGTAAATCAACCACAGTCACGGTGAAGTAAATCAACCACAGTCACGGTGAAGTAAATCAACCACAGTCACGGTGAAGTAAATCAACCACAGTCACGGTGAAGTAAATCAACCACAGTCACTGGTGAAGTAAATCAACCACAGTCACGGTGAAGTAAATCAACCACAGTCACGATGAAGTAAATCAACCACAGTCACGGTGAAGTAAATCAACCACAGTCAATCAACCACAGTCATGGTAAAGTAAATCAACCACAGTCATGGTGAAGTAAATCAACCACAGTCATAATAATAATAATAATATGCCATTTAGCAGACACCATGGTGAAGTAAATCAACCACAGTCATGGTGAAGTAAATCAACCAGTCATGTGAAGTAAATCAACCACAGTCATGGTGAAGTAAATCAACCACAGTCATGGTGAAGTAAATCATAGTAAGCAGAAAGGGAAAACAAGGCCGGAGGGGAAAAGAGGAAGTTAGTCATGAAGGGAAGTGAAGTGAAACACAGATTGGTTCCGTAAATTGACTTGACCGTTGGCTTGATGACATAAGTCATTTAGAAGGAGAGGCAGTGCAAGCACAGTAAATACAGAAGTAAAACTGTGTTACATCTCAAATGGCACTATACACCGATTGTACAAAACATTAAGAACACTTGCTCTTTCCATGACATAGACTGACCAGATTAATCCAGGTGAAAGTTATGATCATTTTTTATGTCACTTGTTCAATCCACTTCAAATCAGTGTAGACGAAGGGGAGTAGACAGGTTAATGAAGGATTTTTAAGCCTTGTGACATGGATTGTGTTTGTGTGCCAATTAGAGGAGGAATGGGCAAGACAAAATTGTCTCCTGAGTGGCGCAGTGGTCTAAGGCACTGTATCGCAGTGCAAACTGTGCCACTAGAGATCCTGGTTCGAATCCAGGCTCTGTCGTAGCTGGCCGTGACCGGGAGACCCATGGGGCGGCGCAAAATTGGCCCAGCGTCGTCCAGGGTAGGGGAGGGAATGGCCGGCAGGGATGTAGCTCAGTTGATAGAGCATGGCGTTTGCAACGCCAGGGTTGTGGGTTCGTTTCCAACGGGGGGCCAGTATAAAAAAAATAAAAAAAATAAAAAAAATGTGTTCACTAACTGTAAATCGCTCTGGATAAGAGCGTCTGCTAAATGACTAAAATGTAAGTGTAAATGTAGTACAGTAGTAGGTTCCAGGCGCACCGGTTTGTGTCAAGAACTGCAACGCTGCTGAGTTTTTCCACGCTCAACCGTTTCCCGCGTGTATCAAGAATGGTCCACCACCCAAAGGACATCCGGCCAACTTCACACAACTGTGGGAAGCATTGGAGTGAACATGGGCCAGCATCCCTGTGGAACGCTTTCGACACCTTGTAGAGTCCATGCCCCGACGAATTGAGGCTGTTCTGAGGGCAACTCGATATTAGGAAGGTGCTCCTAATGTTTGGTATTCTCAGTGTAGTGCACTACCTCTGGCCAGGGCCCATAGAAACATAACATTTAGTATGTGTCCTAAATGCCACCCTATTGCCGATAGTGCACTACATTTAACCAGAGCCCAGTACAACAAGCTACATCATAACCATGACGACTATTTCTTAAGAAACAATATTCCTGGAATGACTCGTTGTCTCTCACTCTATCTGATCAACAGAGGGGTCTTGGTAAAGGAAAGCCTTTTTTAGTTCACAAGGTATCGGCCAGCTTTGTCACAGACTTCATAGAAGCATTACTTCTCTGTTATAGATTACGTGGTAAAAAATTCACAATGAAGGAACCGCTGATGCGTTGAAACGGAACAGTTCATACCCCTAGCAAAAAAAGAGACGAGTGTGTGTGACTTTCTGAGAACCAAATCACAGGAATCGACAGAGCAAAGAAAGAGAGAGCAGGAGAGTGCGAGATCATAAAATTATACCACGCCCTGCAGTCTCTATAAACAGATCAATCGGTCTGAAATATGCAGCGCTCTACAACACAGCTTAGGGCCAATGTTGATTTACAATTCACTAGTCTCTCTGTCCTTCACAACACACTCCAGTCTACTCACTGCCTTCAGTGCTCTATAGGTCTTGAAGGAACATAGAAGGGCTGCTCCAGCCACAAGAATGCAGATGCCTTATTTCCATTGTGGTCCTCTTAGCGCTGAGGAGTACACACATCGTACTTTATTTGACATTTGATCATTTAGCAGACGCTCTTACCCAGAGTGAAACACTGAGTCCATCATACTACTTACGGGCCAACGATTAACGATTTATTCACTAGTCCCAGTAGGCTTCACAAGACACTTCAGTGCCTCTGCCGCCTTAGCACTGAGAAGTATACACACTGAAATACACTGAGTCCATCTATAATTCTATTTTTTCCATTCTCTACCTCAGGTCCTGAGCAGTAGAAGAACACATCGTCCTCCTCCAATGGTTTGACTGGACTCCTCAGACGCATCACGGTGGACAGGACAGGAGTAGTTCAGTCAAATACGTCTCATACGTCACTGGTCCCAATCGACCCTTCAGGCAGCCACGCTTCTCTCTGTACAACCGTCCAACAGTGTGTGTCCTCTAAGGGGAAGTCCTGCCTGACACTAGCTGCCGTTAAGCACCAAACAGAATCCTCATTTGATCGGCCACAAAACCACAGAAACACTCCTCTCTCCCCCCCAGACGGACGCATGAACACAGCAGATGACATTCTAATTCCACTTTAGGGAATGGTGGTCAGAAAAATCCTAATCTCGGCACCCAGAACCAATCAGCTACCCTATTTAGGTCTAATATTTTAATGTTAAGGCAGTCACAAGAGAGTAGGAAACTCCCAAGCCTTTCCCCTCCCTCATTCGGAGGTGACAGTTCGGGGTTTCTGCCCTCAACTAGTCTTCACTTTCATATTACCCTGAAATCCTCCGAGCCACAGAGCACGCACAAATGACTGATCCAGGATGTGTGTTCTTAAGGGCTCCACACAGTCTACGCAACGGATCCGACGGAGCTTTGTTTGTGTAGCTCTACGTAGTTTTGTGACTGTGAAATCACTGTGGAGAGTCCTTTAGAGGTAATGGATGACTGAACATACAGTACAGAGGTAGCAGTTGGGTACAGTCGTTGTACACTGGTCCATAGAGCTCTGGTTAAAAGTAGTGCACTATATAGGGAATAGGGTGCCAATTAGGACTTAGCGAGTTTGCCAGGTAGGTTCATTTATAATGTAAAGGCCTTTTGACTCCATGTCACCAGTTGTATTGTATTGTGTTGTAACTGGTGGTCAGATGGACATCTGGGAGAATTGGGGACGGACGTGACTGAGTGGAGTCTGGATCAATACTCTCTCAGTCTCAACCCTACAGGACATACTGGAGTCTGGATCAATACTCTCTCAGTCTCAACCCTACAGGACAGACTGGAGTCTGGATCAATACTCTCTCAGTCTCAACCCTACAGGACATACTGGAGTCTGGATCAATACTCTCTCAGTCTCAACCCTACAGGACAGACTGGAATCTTGATCAATACTCTCTGTCTCAACCCTACAGGACAGACTGGAGTCTGGATCAATACTCTCTCAGTCTCAACCCTACAGGACAGACTGGAATCTTGATCAATACTCTCTGTCTCAACCCTACAGGACAGACTGGAGTCTGGATCAATACTCTCTCAGTCTCAACCCTACAGAACAGACTGGAATCTTGATCAATACTCTCTGTCTCAACCCTACAGGACAGACTGGAGTCTGGATCAATACTCTCTCAACCTTAGCCCTGCAGGGCACAATAGGACCACTGGAGCACTGCAGGGGACATCAAAGGGTTGACCTCTTCAACTATTGTACTGATCTGCGTCCCAAATGGCACCCTATTCCCTATAATCATATAGTGCACTTATTTTGCCCAGGGACCATAGGGCTCTGGTCAAAAGTAGTGCACAATATAGGGAATGGGGTGCCATTTGAGACGCAGCCATGGGGTGAATCAATAGTGCTCCCTTGAGGACCAGAGCAGAAGTAGCTAAACAATGGGAAACTGGTGCTGAATGAATAATGATCCGAACACTGTATTGTAATTCTACACAATATGTTGCTGTAGTATCAGTTGATCTGCAGTACAGTGATAAGCTACTGAAATCCCAGAGCGAACACACACTCACACGTACACACAGTTTAAAGTCATTTGAAAGGCAAAAGGAGCAGCCCACAACACTGTCCACGGTGCAGTCAATTACACGCCTCTCTATCAGTGTGGTTTAGTACCAGACACGATCAACATTATGCACATTCCAAATCTCACAATTACAGGGTGGGCTGGGAGGCTGCTGAGGGGAGAGAGAGAGGGCTGGGATGGGGCTGGGAGGCTGCTGAGGGGAGAGAGAGAGAGGGCTGGGGCTGGGGCTGGGAGGCTGCTGGGGGAGAGAGAGAGAGGGATGGGGCTGGGAGGCTGCTGAGGGGAGAGAGAGGGGCTGGGGCTGGGAGGCTGCTGGGGGAGAGAGAGGGCTGGGGATGGGGCTGGGGCTGGGAGACTGCTGAGGGGAGAGAGAGTGGTGGGGCTGGGAGGCTGCTGAGGGGAGAGAGGAGGGCTGGGGCTGGGAGGCTGCTGGGGGAGAGAGGGGGCTGGGGATGGGGCTGGGAGGCTGCTGAGGGGAGAGAGAGAGGGGGCTGGGGATGGGGCTGGGAGGCTGCTGAGGGGAGAGAGAGAGGGGCTGGATGGGGCTGGGAGGCTGCTGAGGGGAGAGAGAGAGAGGGCTGGGGATGGGCTGGGAGGCTGCTGAGGGGAGAGAGGAGAGAGAGAGGCTGGGGCTGGGGCTGGGAGGCTGCTGGGGGGAGAGAGAGAGGATGGGGCTGGGAGGCTGCTGAGGGGAGAGAGAGGGCTGGGGCTGGGAGGCTGCTGGGGGAGAGAGAGGGCTGGGGATGGGGCTGGGAGGCTGCTGAGGGGAGAGAGAGAGGGCTGGGGATGGGGCTGGGAGGCTGCTGAGGGGAGAGAGAGAGGGCTGGGGATGGGGCTGGGAGGCTGCTGAGGGGAGAGAGAGGGCTGGGGCTGGGAGGCTGCTGGGGGGAGAGAGAGGGCTGGGGATGGGGCTGGGAGGCTGCTGAGGGAGAGAGAGAGAGGGGCTGGGGATGGGGCTGGGAGGCTGCTGAGGGGAGAGAGAGGGCTGGGGATGGGGCTGGGAGGCTGCTGAGGGGAGAGAGAGGGGGCTGGGAGCTGCTGAGGGGATGGGGCTGGGGGTGCTGAGGGAGATGAGAGAGGGCTGGGGATGGGGCCTGGGAGGCTTGCTGAGTGGGAGAGAGAGAGGGCTGGGGTATGGGGCTGGGAGACTGCTGATGGGAAGAGAGAAGGGGCTGGGTGATGGGGGCTGGGAGGCTGCTGAGGGGAGGAGAGAGAGGGGGCTGGGGATGGGGCTGGGAGGCTGCGGGGGAGAGAGAAGGGGGCTGGGGATGGGGCTGGGAGGCTGCTGAGGGGAAGAGAGAGAGAGGCTGGGTCAATGGGGGCCTGGGAGGACTGCTGATGGGGGGAGAGAGAGAGGGCTGGGGGGGCTGGGAGGCTGCTGAGGGGGAGAGAGAGAGGGCTGGGGATGGGGCTGGGAGGCTGCTGGAGGGGAGGAGAGAGAGGCTTGGGATGGGCGGAGGGGGCTGCTGAGGGGAGAGAGAGAGGTCTGGGATGGGGCTGGGAGGCTGCTGAGGGGAGAGAGAGAGGTCTGGGGATGGGGCTGGGAGCTGCTGAGGGGAGAGAGAGAGGTCTGGGGATGGGGCTGGGAGGCTGCTGAGGGGAGAGAGAGGGTCTGGGGATGGGGCTGGGAGGCTGCTGAGGGGAGAGAGGGGCTGGGGATGGGGCTGGGAGGCTGCTGAGGGGAGAGAGGGGGCTGGGGATGGGAGGCTGCTGAGGAGAGAGAGAGAGGCTGGAGGGCTGGGAGGCTGCTGAGGGAGAGAGAGAGAGGGCTGGGGATGGGGAGGCTGCTGAGGAGAGAGAGAGAGAGGGCTGGGGATGGGAGGGCTGCTGAGGAGAAGAGAGAGAGCTGGGATGGGATGGGGGAGGCTGCTGAGGAGAGAGAGAGAGGGCTGTGATGGGAGGCTGCTGAGGAAAATGGCATGGGGATGGGCTTGTGAGGCTTGCTGAGGAGAGAGAGAAGAGGGCTGCGAGAGATGGAAGGCTGGAGAGAGAGAGAGGAGAGAGAGGAAGAGAAGAGCGGGCAAGAAGAGAGAGACTTTATTCGATAGATTCAATAGACCAAGATTATCATTAGACATGAACAAAATGCATCAGTGATTCGTATTTTTCTTCAACTTTCTGAAGAGGAAATGCATGTACCCCTGCCGTTAGAGATAATGCTAATGATAACCGTCAACTTGTAGACGGAAAGGCTTTCCCAAAAAGGGAGGGAGGGACTCAGGAGATTCTGTACTACAGCAACCTGCACTAACACATACCAGCCTGAGTGAGTGCAAACAGTACACTTATGATTTTACCTAAATCACACATTAGCAACTGTTATGGTTCTACCTAAATCACACATTAGCATGTCCCCCTTACACACACACACACACATACCCTGTCCCCCTTAGTTCTTCCTCCACTCAGAGCTGGATTTGGTTACACAGGCAAGAAGTGTAACCCAAGTACGGTGCCACAGACACACACACACACACACACGCACACACACACACACACACACGCACACACACACACGCACACACACACACACACACACAGACAGACAGACAGACAGACAAACAGGAAATGTTGTTTCTCCAGGAAGAAGCCTAATCTGCCATATGGCCAGTGTGTGGTGAACACTTAGCAGAGCAGAGTAAAGGCCAAGGAGAGCGAGTGCTGCTGGGCTGCTGACAGTCCTGTACAACATGCCCTCTGCTCTCTCCGCTGGAGTCCTGTACAACATGCCCTCTGCTCTCTCCGCTGGAGTCCTGTACAACATGCCCTCTGCTCTCTCCGCTGGAGTCCTGTACAACATGCCCTCTGCTCTCTCCGCTGGAGTCCTGTACAACATGCCCTCTGCTCTCTCCGCTGGAGTCCTGTACAACATGCCCTCTGCTCTCTCCGCTGGAGTCCTGTACAACATGCCCTCTGCTCTCTCCGCTGGAGTCCTGTACAACATGCCCTCTGCTCTCTCCGCTGGAGTCCTGTACAACATGCCCTCTGCTCTCTCCGCTGGAGTCCTCAGACACAGACAGACAAACAGCGCTCCTCTCCTTCATGCTGTTACGCAACGGTTCTCATCTGCAGCCCAAATGGCACCCTATTCCCTATGTAGTGCACCACTTTTGGCCAGTTTGTGGGCTATGGTGAAAAGTAGTGCACTATATAGGGAATAGGGTGCCATTTGGGACACAGTCCTCATCCTCCAACCTAGTAACTTAATTATGGGAGAGCATGTTTATGAGGGGGCGGTTCCAGTGTTGATGGACAGCAGGGAGAGGTGGAGATGACCAATGAGGAAAGGCAGGGGGGGTACTTTAACGGTCTGACAGTGCCATGAAATCAGGAAGTAAGGCATGTGGTCGTCCAATTGTGCGTCCCAAATGGCACTAGGTAGGGAATAGGGTGCCATTTTGGGGCCACAGACTTCTTCTCTGATTAGATTACATCACAGTAGAGCTCAGAGAGGAGTGCCTTGATGAAGAGGTGCCCTGCTCTGCTCTCTCTGGGTTAGCAGCCATTTCACAGGTGGGTGGAAGAGCAATGTCAACAAGAATGCCCCGAGGGAGGGAGCGGTAGAGAGAGAAGAGAAGGGCAAGTCTGGCCTCTGGCAGTAACCTTGTTCAACGGTAAAGCGTGACAGTAAAGCGTGACGGTAAAACGTGACGGTAAAGGGTAAGGGGGGTAATTTGGTATATTAAGCGTGACGGTAAAACGTGACGGTAAAGGGTAGCAGGAAAGCGTGACGGTAAAGGGTAGCAGGAAAGCGTGACGGTAAAGGGTAGCAGGAAAGCGTGACGGTAAAGGGTAGCAGGAAAGCGTGACGGTAAAGCGTGACGGTAAAGCGTGACGGTAAAGTGTAGCAGGAAAGTTGCTGTAGTAGCTAACGTGTATAGTGTTGAGTCATCCGCATACATAGACACACTGGATTTGCTCAAAGCCAGTGGCATGTCGTTAGTAAAGATTTAAATGTCCCTGAGGTAGAGGTGTCCACACTCGTGAACATCAACCTAGGTCCTCACCTACTCTCTTCACCTTACTTCACCTCAACTCTCCTCTCACCTCTCCTCACCTCTCCTCACCTTACCTCTCCTTACTTCACCTCAACTCTCCTCTCACCTCTCCTTACTTCAACTCTCCTCACCTTACCTCACCTCTCCTGTTAGAGATGAGAAGAGTCATTATGAGATGTGAAGAGTCATTATGAGATGTGAAGAGTCATTATGAGATGTGAAGAGTCATTATGAGATGTGAAGAGTCATTATGAGATGTGAAGAGTCATTATGAGATGTGAAGAGTCATTATGAGATGTGAAGAGTCATTGAGATGAGAAGTGTCATTATGAGATGTGAAGAGTCAATATGAGATGTGAAGAGTCATTATGAGATGAGAAGAGTCATTATGAGATGTGAAGAGTCATTGAGATGAGAAGTGTCATTATGAGATGAGAAGAGTCATTATGACTCCAACCTGACAGAGTTTGCGAGGATCTGCAGAGAAGAATGGGAGAAACTCCCCAAATACAGGTGTGCCAAGCTTGTAGCGTCATACCCAAGAAGACTCAAGGCTGTAATCGCTTCCAAAGGTGCTTCAACAAAGTACTGAGTAAAGGGTCTGAATACTTATGTAAATGTGATATTTCAGTTTAGTATTTTTTTAATAAATTTGCAAACATTTCTAAAAACCTTTTTTTGCTTTGTCATTATGGGGTATTGTGTGTAGATTGATGAGGAACAAAAACAATTTAATACATTTTAGAATAAGGCTGTAACGCAACAAAATGTGGAAAAAGTCAAGGGGTCAGAATGCACTGTAGCTAACAAACTAGGCAGTTAAATACACAGCTGGACTTTCTCCCATTGTGCTATTTACAAACAAACACGTTACTGGCTCAACTGTGGAACTACGGTAAGCTTCACAATGTAAAATAAAGCGACAGGTGAAATGATCTGTTTTATCTCCTAACGTATTGCACAAGTTGACTGCAGGTATTTACTTAAAAAGCAGCCAAAAATATTAAAACGTATACAAATAAACCGGACAGGACAGGGAAGGCTAGGGAAGAGGCGGGAGGAGAGAGGAGAGGAGGGAGGAGAGGACAGGACACGGAGGAGGTGGTAGGGAGGAGAGGAGGGTTGACTTGACAGGACACGGAGGAGAGGAGGTAGGGAGGAGAGGAGGGAGGACTTGACAGGACACGGAGGAGAGGAGGTAGGGAGGAGAGGAGGGAGGACTTGACAGGACACAGAGGAGAGGAGGTGGTAGGGAGGAGAGGAGGGAGGACTTGACAGGACATGGAGGAGAGGAGGAGGGAGGGGAGGAGGGAGTAGAGGAGGTAGGGGAGGAGCGAGGTCTTGACAGGACACGGAGGAGAGGAGGAGGTAGGGAGGAGAGGAGGAGGGAGGGAGGGAGAGCGAGGTGAGGGGAGGAGCGGAGGGTAGGCTCCCCTAACAGGACATGGAGGAAAGGAGGTGGTAGGGAGGAGAGGAGGAGAGGATGGATGACTTGACAGGACACGGAGGAGAGGAGGTAGGGAGGAGAGGAGGAGAGAGGAGGGAGGACATGACAAGACACGGAGGAGAGGAGGGAGGAGAGGAGGGAGGGGAGGAGGTATGGGCGGGCCCATAGGCTGCTGCATCGGTCTGTCTCGGAAGCAACAAGGTAACAGACATAATCTTATCACAGCACAGTGACAAAACACTGAGGAACATAGCCAGGAGAGGAGTGATGCATATTTGGGACGCAACCGCAGTTCAAGAGTCATCTACACTTAGGGCCTCACATTAAAACTCAAAGGGAGAAATGGCTGCCTGCCCGGAGCTATATCTGGCTGGCATTTATCACAGTTTCCATCTAAAAGACAGACCTCATCTTCATCCAACAGCTTCACAGTAAAGCCAACAGAGGAGTAATGCGTCCCAAATGGCACCCTATTCCCTATGCAGTTTACTACTATACTTTTGACCAGGGCACATAGGGCACTATATAGGGAATAGGGTGCCATTTGGGACATAGACGAGGGTGCAGACAAAGTAGATATAAAGTTGATAGCACACACAGTGTTTATCATGCCATGTAGGAAACTATTCTAATAATTACAATTTTCTTATAATTATTTGGCGGGTGCTTATATATACACACTGCTCAAAAAAATTAAGGGAACACTAAAAGAACACATCCTAGATCTGAATGAATGAAATAATCTTATTAAATACTTTTTTCTTTACATAGTTGAATGTGCCGACAACAAAATCACACAAAAATTATCAATGGAAATCAAATTTATCAACCCATGGAGGTCTGGATTTGGATTAAAGTGGAAAACCACACTACAGGCTGATCCAACTTTGATGTAATGTAGTGTGTGGCTCAGTAGTGTGTGTGGCCTCCACGTGCCTGTATGACCTCCCTACAACGCCTGGGCATGCTCCTGATGAGTTGGCGGATGGTCTGGACTAAAGCATCCGCCAACTCTTGGACAGTCTGTGGTGCAACGTGGCGTTGGTGGATGGAGCGAGACATGATGTCCCAGATGTGCTCAATTGGATTCAGGTCTGGGGAACGGGCGGGCCAGTCCATAGCATCAATGCCTTCCTCTTGCAGGAACTGCTGACACACTCCAGCCACATGAGGTCTAGCATTGTCTTGCATTAGGAGGAACCCTGGGCCAACCGCACCAGCATATGGTCTCACAAGGGGTCTGAGGATCTCATCTCGGTACCTAATGGCAGTCAGGCTACCTCTGGCGAGCACATGGAGGGCTGTGCGGCCCCCCAAAGAAATGCCACCCCACACCATGACTGACCCACTGCCAAACCGGTCATGCTGGAGGATGTTGCAGGCAGCAGAACGTTCTCCACGGCGTCTCCAGACTCTGTCACGTCTGTCACGTGCTCAGTGTGAACCTGCTTTCATCTGTGAAGAGCACAGGGCGCCAGTGGCGAATTTGCCAATCTTGGTGTTCTCTGGCAAATGCCAAACCTCCTGCACGGTGTTGGGCTGTAAGCACAACCCCCACCTGTGGACGTCGGGCCCTCATACCACCCTCATGGAGTCTGTTTCTGACCGTTTGAGCAGACACATGCACATTTGTGGCCTGCTGGAGGTCATTTTGCAGGGCTCTGGCAGTGCTCCTCCTGCTCCTCCTTGCACAAAGACGGAGGTAGCAGTCCTCTGCTGGGTTGTTGCCCTCCTATGGCCTCCTCCACGTCTCCTGATGTACTGGCCTGTCTCCTGGTAGCGCCTCCATGCTCTGGACACTACGCTGACAGACACAGCAAACCTTCTTGCCACAGCTCGCATTGATGTGCCATCCTGGATGAGCTGCACTACCTGAGCCACTTGTGTGGGTTGTAGACTCCGTCTCATGCTACCACTAGAGTGAAAGCACTGCCAGCATTCAAAAGTGACCAAAACATCAGCCAGGAAGCATAGGAACTGAGAAGTGGTCTGTGGTCACCACCTGCAAAACCAGTCCTTTATTGGGGGTGTCTTGCTAATTGCCTATAATTTCCACCTGTTGTCTATTCCATTTGCACAACAGCATGTGCCTTGTTTTTGGTAAGCCATTGGGTGCATGTATTTCATGATACTTTGGTGCATGTATTTCATGACACTTGGCTGCATGTATTTCATGACACTTGGCTGCATGTATTTCATGATACTTGGGTGCATGTATTTCATGACACTTGGGTGCATGTATTTCATGATACTTGGGTGCATGTATTTCATGATACTTGGGTGCATGTATTTCATGATACTTGGGTGCATGTATTTCATGATACTTGGGTGCATATATTTCATGACACTTGGGTGCATGTATTTCATGATACTTGGGTGCATGTATTTCATGATACTTGGGTGCATGTATTTCATGATACTTGGGTGCATGTATTTCATGATACTTGGGTGCATGTATTTCATGATACTTTGGTGCATGTATTTCATGACACTTGGCTGCATGTATTTCATGACACTTGGCTGCATGTATTTCATGATACTTGGGTGCATATATTTCATGACACTTGGGTGCATGTATTTCATGATACTTGGGTGCATGTATTTCATGATACTTGGGTGCATGTATTTCATGATACTTGGGTGCATGTATTTCATGACACTTGGGTGCATGTATTTCATGATACTTGGGTGCATGTATTTCATGATACTTTGGTGCATGTATTTCATGACACTTGGCTGCATGTATTTCATGACACTTGGCTGCATGTATTTCATGATACTTGGGTGCATATATTTCATGACACTTGGGTGCATGTATTTCATGATACTTGGGTGCATGTATTTCATGATACTTGGGTGCATGTATTTCATGATACTTGGGTGCATGTATTTCATGATACTTGGGTGCATGTATTTCATGATACTCGTTTGCTACAAAACCTTGCTGAAACAAGGAGCAGAAAAGTGTTACCACGGAAACGGACTCAACCAGCACAGGTCTTCAGTCAGCTGTTCCTTCCACAACACAAAATGTTAGAACGGGCTAGTTCTGCCTCCTGTCATCGCTCCTCATCTCGGCTGTTAGAACGGGCTAGTTCTGCCTCCTGTCATCGCTCCTCATCTCGGCTGTTAGAACGGGCTAGTTTTGCCTCCTGTCATCGCTCCTCATCTCGGCTGTTAGAACGGGCTAGTTTTGCCTCCTGTCGTCGCTCCTCATCTCGGCTGTTAGAACGGGCTAGTTCTGCCTCCTGTCATCGCTCCTCATCTCGGCTGTTAGAACTGGCTAGTTTTGCCTCCTGTCATCGCTCCTCATCTCGGCTGTTAGATGAACCAGGATTACTTTTACTTAACTGCTTTTGGGAAAAGTTTGTCGACTTGTAAATTAAGGTATAAAATGTTTTGGTTCTGGACAGCCAGGCACTGGGTTTGGTTCTGGACAGCCAGGCCCTGGGTTTGGTTCTGGACAGCCAGGCACTGGGTTTGGTTCTGGACAGCCAGGCACTGGGTTTGGTTCTGGACTGCCAGGCCCTGGGTTTGGTTCTGGACTGCCAGGCACTGGGTTTGGTTCTGGACTGCCAGGCACTGGGTTTGGTTCTGGACTGCCAGGCACTGGGTTTGGTTCTGGACTGCCAGGCCCTGGGTTTGGTTCTGGACAGCCAGGCCCTGGGTTTGGTTCTGGACAGCCAGACACTGGGTTTGGTTCTGGACAGCCAAGCACTGGGTTTGGTTCTGGACTGCCAGGCACTGGGTTTGGTTCTGGACTGCCAGGCACTGGGTTTGGTTCTGGACTGCCAGGCCCTGGGTTTGGTTCTGGACAGCCAGACACTGGGTTTGGTTCTGGACAGCCAGACACTGGGTTTGGTTCTGGACAGCCAGGCACTGGGTTTGGTTCTGGACTGCCAGGTATAGATGGCAGCCTGTATATAATCCTACAGGGCAAACACAGTTCAACAGCCTCTCCCACTGGGCAGCCAGACTAAACTATTATGCATGGTTTCTATTCTGAATACCTGTTTCCCCTGCTAGTCACTCTGCCCTTAGGGCCCACAGCTGTAGGATCAGCTGAGCTTACCCAAACCCTGAGATAAAGGAATGAGAGGCCCACACAGCACACAGAATATTTCTACACCCCAATGCTTTATTCCTGCACCCAAATATACGATTCAACTTCACAGAAATCTTAACGAAATCCAACCATAACCATTAGGGAGGAAAACACAAAGACTGACCTTGGATCATTGTACGGGGCGACGTCCTACTCATCTTACCCTCCTATGGGAGAAGTAGTATGCTTCCTGTCATTTGGGAGGCAGACTAATTTATGCAAGAATACACAGTCGTTTAGTTAGCCTTCCACTCTGATGTCAGAGATAACCGTCAACCCAAAAGAACACAGGCCCCATACAGTCCATAATACTGTAGGCCATTTCTCTGTACTCCTACACATAGGAGCCATGACGATGAATGTGCAAGGGGGAGGAGTGGCCTTTCTCCTTGGGAATGGGACAACCCATAGAATTCGATTCTAAATTCAAATTCTCTAATTCAAATTCTAGTTCTAATTCTATGGGACTACCACCCAGACAGGACTACCTACGTTACTGCAGTTTCTGAGTTCCCCAGCAAGTGACACGGCTTGTCCCACACGGTGGAAAGTACTGGGAACCCAACAGCCGTCACAGGCCAATGAAAAGACACACTCTTGTCCGTCATACATTAATGATGGCCTGTGCTGAACTGCATGGGTGGCTAACAAGTACAATGTCACTGTGTTGTGCGTCAGTGGGTAAAATGAGGCTGTAGGTCCACTGTGGACCATGACTCATGAGGTTAGCCTGTGGATTGGGATCAGTCGGTGGACCACAGGCAGAGACCTAACCTATGGAGACCTGGACAGTAGACAACACTATTGCAAGCTAAGGCACAGAGGCAGAGACACGAGGAGCGGAGAGAAAACATGCAGTTAGTGGGAGTAGATCAGAGCAGTAATGCTGGTCTATAGGGCAGACTACAGAGATGATTGAGTGTGCCCGTCAGACATTCATGTCACAGAGAGACACAACGGTTCCTCACAGACAGACGTAAAGGCTATAAAGGTCATAGAAGAGAGAGTGGGCACTGGAAAAGACGGTGAGTCATGACTGGACCAAGACATGACAAGAGCCTTGTTCTTCTGGACAACAGAACAACATGGTCATTAACCCTTTACACTCTAAGCCCTGTCTAAGCCGGGGGAGGGGGTTCTAAGCAAACATATGGAGTTGTTTTAAGATAGTCATTCAAAGGATCATTTTGCGATTTGATTTGGAATTTTAAGACCCCTTAAGGTATATAAAAAATACAAAAAACAATTGTATGAAACATTGAATTTAGCGTTACTGCTATTAGCCAATAGAAATGCATTAAATAACAGATTCACCACATGGAACAACAGATACCCCCCCAAAAATCAAAAATAAGTTTGTTCTGAAGTGTCTGTCCTATATCAGAGACGTAAGAAAGATCAGGAAACTATTATTATAATTGTTTTACATATTTTAGGCACTAAACTACATGACCAAAAGTACATCTCATTCCAAAACCATTTCTGTATGGACCTCGCTTTGTGCACGGGGGCATTGTCATGCTGAAACAGGAAAGGGCCTTCCCCAAACTGTTGCCACAAAGTGGGAAGCACAGAATCGTCTAGAATGTCATTGTATGCTGTAATGTTAAGATTTCCCTTCACTGGAACTAAGGGGCCTAGCCCGAACCATGAAAATCAGCCCCAGACCATTATTCCTCCTCCACTAAACTTTACAGTTGGCACTATGCATTGGGGCAGGTAGCGTTCTCATGGCATCCGCCAAACCTAGATTCATCTATCAGACTGCCAGATGGTGAAGCGTGATTCATCACTCCAGAGAACGCGTTTCCAATGCTCCAGAGTCAAATGGCGGCGAGCTTTACACCACTCCAGCAGACGCTTGGCATTGAGCATCGTGATCTTAGGCTTGTGTGCGGCTGCTCGGCCATGGAAACCCAGTTCATGAAGCTCTCGACAAACAGTTCTTGTGCTGACGTTGCTTCCAGAGGCAGTTTGGAACTTGGTTGTGAGTGTTGCAACTGAGGACAAATTATTTTTACGTGCTACGCGCTTCAGCACTCGCCGGTTCCGTTCTATGAGCTTGTATGGCCTACCTCGCGGCTGAGCCGTTGTTGCACCTAGACGTTTCCACTTCACAATAACAGTACCTACAGTTGACTGGACGAGTGGCGCAGTGGTCTAAGGCACTGCATTGCAGTACTAGCTGTGCCACTAGAGATCCTGGTTCGAATCCAGGCTCTGTCGTAGCCAGCCGTGACCGGGAGACCCATTGGGCGGCGCACGATTGGCCCAGCGTCGTCCAGGGTAGGGGAGGGAATGGCTGGCAGGGATGTAGCTCAGTTGGTAGAGCATGGCGTTTGCAACGCCAGGGTTGTGGGTTCGATTCCCACGGGGGGTATAAAAATTATTAAAAAATTATTTAAAAATAATAATGTATGCACTCACTAACTGTAAGTCGCTCTGGATAAGAGCGTCTGCTAAATGACTAAAATGTAAAAATGTAATGTAAAATGTTGACCGGGGCAGCTCTTGCAGGGCAGAAATTTGACGAACTGGAGATTACATGGCTGTGTGCTCGATTTTATACTCCTGTCAGCAACGGGTGTGGCTGAAATCCACTAATTTGAAGGTGTGTCCACATACTTTTGTATATACACCTACTCAGTCAAGGGTTTTTCTTAATTTTTTACTATTTTCTACATTGTAGAATAATAGTGAAGACATCAAAACTATGAAATAACACGTATCATGTAGTAACCAAAAATGTATTAAACAAATCAAAATATTTTTCAAATTTTAGATTCCTCAAAGTAGCCACAGCTTTGCACACTCTTGGCATTCTCTCATCCAGTTTCACCTGGAATGCTTTTCCAACAGTCTTGAAGGAGTTCCCACATATCCTCTTTGCAGATCTTCTCCAAGTCATTAAGGTTTCGAGGCTGACATTTGGCAACTCGAACCTTCAGCTCCCTCCACAGATTTTCTATGGGATTAAGGTCTGGAGACTGGCTAGGCCACTCCAGGATCTTAATGTGCTTCTTCTTGAGCCACTCCTTTGTTGCCTTGGCCGTGTGTTTTGGGTCATTGTCATGCTGGAATACCCATCCACGACCCATTTTCAATGCCCTGGCTGAGGGAAGAAGGTTCTCACCCAAGATTTGACAGTACATGGCCCCGTCCACCGTCCCTTTGATGCGGTGAAGTTGTCCTGTCCCCTTAGCAGAAAAACACCACAAAGCATAATGTTTCCACCTCCATGTTTGACAGTGGGGATGGTGTTCTTGGGGTCATAGGCAGCATTCCTCCTCCTCCAAACACGGCGAGTTGAGTTGATGCCAAAGAGCTAGATTTTGGTCTCATCTGACCACAACACGTTCAACCAGTTCTCCTCTGAATCATTCAGATGTTCATTGGCAAACTTCAGACGGGCCTGTATATGTGCTTTTTTGAGCAGGGGGACCTTGCGGGCGCTGCAGGATTTCAGTCCTTCATGGCGTAGTGTTACCAATTGTTTTCTTGGTGACTATGGTCCCAGCTGCCTTGATATAATTGACAAGATCCTCCCGTGTAGTTCTGGGCTGATTCCTCACCGTTCTCATGATCATTGCAACTCCACCAGGTGAGACCTTGCATGGAGCCCCAGGCCGAGGGAGATTGACAGTTATTTTGTGTTTCTTCCATTTGCGAATAATCGCACCAACTGTTGTCACCTTCTCACCAAGCTGCTTGGCGATGGTCTTGTAGCCCATTCCAGCCTTGTGTAGGTCTACAATCTTGTCCCTGACAACCTTGGAGAGCTCTTTGGTCTTGGCCATGGTGGAGAGTTTGGAATCTGATTGATTGATTGCTTCTGTGGACAGGTGTCTTTTATACAGGTAACAAGCTGAGATTAGGAGCACTCCCTTTAAGAGTGTGCTCCTAATCTCAGCTCGTTACGTCAATCAATCAATCAATTTTATTTTATATAGCCCTTCTTACATCAGCTAATATCTCGAAGTGCTGTACAGAAACCCAGCCTAAAACCCCAAACAGCTAGTAATGCAGGTGTAGAAGCACGGTGGCTAGGAAAAACTCCCTAGAAAGGCAAAACCTAGGAAGAAACCTAGAGAGGAACCAGGCTATGAGGGGTGGCCAGTCCTCTTCTGGCTGTGCCGGGTGGAGATTATAACAGAACCATGCCAAGATGTTCAAAAATGTTCATAAGTGACAAGCATGGTCAAATAATAATCAGGAATAAATCTCAGTTGGCTTTTCATAGCCGATCATTAGAGTTTAAAAACAGCAGGTCTGGGACAGGTAGGGGTTCCATAACCGCAGGCAGAACAGTTTAAACTGGAATAGCAGCAAGGCCAGGCGGACTGGGGACAGCAAGGAGTCACCACGGCCGGTAGTCCCGACGTATGGTCCTAGGGCTCAGGTCTCTCAGTTGGCTTTTCATAGCCGATCATTTAGAGTTGAAAACAGCAGGTCTGGGACAGGTAGGGGTTTCGTAGCCGCAGGCAGAACAGTTGAAACTGGAATAGCAGCAAGGCCAGGCGTTACGTGTATAAAAAGACACCTGGGAGCCAGAAATCTTTCTGATTGAGAGGGGGTCAAATACTTATTTCCCTCATTAAAATGCAAATCAATTAATAACATTTTTGACATGCATTTTTCTGGATTTTGTTGTTGTTATTCTGTCTCTCACTGTTCAAATAAACCTACCATTAAAATTATAGACTGATAATTTCTTTGTCAGTGGGCAAACGTACAAAATCAGCAGGGGATCAAATACTTTTTTCCCCTCACTGTATACTCTATTAATTATTTTAACTGGTACCGGGGACCTTCAGACGAGTCTTGTGAGGCTTGTAGGTGTCGTAGAGCAAAACAGAGAACGCCATCGTGAGAGTCTTTCAATAGAGTGGTAATAATACTTTTTAGGCCAAACCGTTCAGACACTACAGACGTATTGGTGAGATGACCAATTTGTACTAAGGGACTTCATCAAGACAAATAGCTACTATACTGTACACACTATAATTACTAACACTGACAATATGACTGGAGCTGGACAGCCCTGTGTGCATAAAATATAACCTTTTCCAAATAATTGCACCAGATTAATAGGGCTGGGAATTGTCAGGGACAAAAAACAACAAATAAAAAAAAACATTTTTGAGGTCTGTGAAAAATCTAAGCAATTTTAATATTCACCCTTTGATTCACATGCACACCAGCAAGAGACTTGTTTGGTTGGCTGTGTTTCTGTAACACACATGAGTTTGCTAAACAAATCGCCACTGGATTGATGCAAATAACCATGATACCAGGTAGGCTACTTTGTAGTTAACATTTAATTGAGAAGGTTATCAGAAGACCGTTATCATTATTAGCTTCATCGCTAATGGCTACACACAGTGGTAGACAAACACACACACACACAGACAGGGGCATTCCTGCATTTCCTCTTCAGAAAGTTAAAGGAAAATATGAATCACTGATGCATTTTGTTAATGTCTTATGATAATCTTATGATAATTTTCTAATAAGTTAAATCAATACATTTAGTTGATTTCCTACTAAGCTGAATACATTTTAGAATATTGTTGAATTCCATTTTAATGTCTGGATTCCGTGATTCCGTCCGCATTCTCTGTATCACAGATTTTATAGGGCCCTACGATACGATATGTATTGCGATTCTCATGATTGTATACGTATTGAGATTCGATACTGCAATTGTATTGCGATTTGATGTTCCAAACATATTTCTCATTATAGCCTGTCTGCTGCAGAGGAAAGAGAGCATGAGAAAACAAGTTTTGATCAGTTATGGAAATAAAAGTGCTGAAAACATGTTGGCTCACTATTTAAAAAGAAGATGAACAAGCTATAGGATGAGTATTGGCGCAAGTACAGCTGAATAGCGCTAGCTAACGATACCTGGCAACCCCAAAAAATCAAAGTGTAAATAATATTATAATCTACAATAATATGGATTTTGCCCCCTCCCCCATCACTAAATATTGAGGACATTGCAGTGGTGCTTCAAAAAACTTAGCTCAATTCAACTGTACACTGAAACTCACACCACATAACAACACACCCTACAGGAAACACAAACATACTAACCCATAAAGAAAGATGAGTAAAACAAACATGAATCTACAGTAGGCCAACTCAAGATTACTGGCATTACTCACCAGTTGGGGGAACTTTACATAGGAGTACATGCTGTCTGTCAGCTCTTGTGACAGCTATCAACAACACAGCATGAGAGCAGAGCACAGCATGACATGGCATGGAATGACAGGGCTCAAGGATAAAACAGCTCAGAATCACATACTTACAGCTAGGGTACCTATGCAGTACAGGAGGCTGAGACATCTGCTAGGTTACAAGATGGCTGAGCTGTGATTGCACAGTGGTCAGTTTCATCTTCAAACCACTCCACACTGGGCTGGGCTCAATGAATTGACTCCTTAAAGCTGAACAGCCTCCACTATGCTTCTCTCCAGGGCCATATAAAGCATAGACAGTATAAAGATATGAAGACTGTCGGGCACTGTTGGCTCTGCTGACTGGATGGGCTTGAAGCTATCTCTCGAGTGGCGCAGTGGTCTAAGGCACTGCATCGCAGCTGTGCCACTAGAGATCCTGGTTCGAATCCAGGCTCTGTCATAGCCGGCTGCGACCGGGAGACCCATGGGGCGGCGCACAATTGGCCCAGCGTCGTCCAGGGTAGGGGAGGGAATGGCCCGCAGGGATGTAGCTCAGTTGGTAGAACATGGCGTTTGCAACGCCAGGGTTGTGGGTTCGATTCCCACGGGGGGCCAGTATGAAAAAAATATATAAAAAAATAATAATAATGTATGCACTTACTAACTGTAAGTCGCTCTGGATAAGAGCGTCTGCTAAATGACTAAAAATGTTTAAAAAATGTAAAACTTCAGTTGAGCCAGAGACAAGTCAGTCCTCTCTTATAAAGCAGTGGCTTGGCCTGACGCGGTGTCAGACATGCACCATAAAACGTGTGTGTGAGGTCAGTAACAGGCTTCTATCACTCGCCTTCACTGAGCCATGTTTCTACTTATCTATAGCAGTAGTACAGTCTCTGTGCCTCTGCCTACACTACCTAGACACTGCAAAAGCTATTCCTGTTGAAGTCGCATGGTAGGTTTAGCACAGCTACGTTCCCTGTTACTGTAGTTGCATCCTGACACATTGGTCTTGCTCAACTGGTTTTGAGGAGTTTGTTCTGTGTTTCCGTCTCAGAGACCAGATAGTAATGCTTTTTGTTGTATTTACATGCTAGACCAGAAATACAGGTTTGACAGTCGAATGACAGAAATTCTGAATGGATAGAGAACGGTTTTCCAAGGACTGGCAGACAGTTGGGATTTGAACACGCATGAATTACTATGAACACAAATCAAATCAAGTCTAAGCATTGCAAACCTTGACTGACTGCCTACGATATCCATTTCACATTTTATTCCTGATTGAAAAAGCCCATCCTAAAATTACTTCAACTCCATAACCTAGTCTATACTTGTACTATGCAATATGCATCTCAAATGGCACTCTATTCCCTATACAGTGCACAACTTTTACCCATAGTTCATAGCACTATATAGGCAATAGGGTACCATTTGGGATGCATCCTAACGGTGTCAGATTAATGAGAGTAACTGGATGGCATAGAGCGAGAGCGCCTATTCTTCCCCCTCTGTTCTGTAGTGTCTAACTGCAGCCAGCTAGCCTCACAGCCCCAGCCTCTTGACGTAGCCTAGCAACCCAGTCCTTCTATCTGTCAGCAGACTGAGGAGAGCAGATGGGGCGGAGTCAGCAGCACTGAGCAGCAAAAGGACAGGAAGTGCAGACTGTTGAGAAACGCTGACCCAGTCACTTCTCTGTATCTGGGTATATCCTAATGGCACCCTATTCCCTATATAGTGCACTACTTTTGACCAGGGCCAATAGGCACCCTATTCCCTATATAGTGCATTACTTTTGACCAGGGCCTATAGGTACCCTATTCTCTATATAGTGCACAACTTTTGACCAGGGCCAATAGGCACCCTATTCCCTATAAAGTGCACTACTTTTGACCAGGGCCAATAGGCACCCTATTCCCTATAAAGTGCACTACTTTTGACCAGGGCCAATAGGTACCCTATTCCCTATATAGTGCACTAGTCTGTAGCTCAGCTGGTAGAGCACGGCGCTTGTAACGCCAAGGTAGTGGGTTCGATCCCCGGGACCACCCATACACAAAAATGTATGCACGCATGACTGTAAGTCGCTTTGGATAAAAGCGTCTGCTAAATGGCATATTATTATTATTATTATTATTTTGACCAGGGCCAATAGGTACCCTATTCCCTATATAGTGCACTACCTTTGACCCGGGCCTATAGGTACCCTATTCCCTATATAGTGCACTACCTTTGACCCGGGCCTATAGGTACCCTATTCCCTATATAGTGCACTACCTTTGACCCGGGCCTATAGGTACCCTATTCCCTATATAGTGCACTAACCTTTGACCCGGGCCTATAGGTACCCTATTCCCTATATAGTGCACTACCTTTGACCCAGGCCTATAGGTACCCTATTCCCTATATAGTGCAGTACTTTTGACCAGGGCCAATAGGTACCCTATTCCCTATAAAGTGCACTACTTTTGACCAGGGCCTATAAGGGATAGAGTGCCATTTGGGACGCTCCCTCCGTGTCTGTCGCCAGCATCTCAGCCTTGGTGCTGCTACTGGTAAATCAGCAGCCTGAATGTCCCTGAGTGGGAATACCCTCCCTCCTACCTCAACCCAGAGAGAGAGAGAGAGAAAACAGAGAAAGAAAACACACAGAGAGAGAGAGAGAGAGAGAGAGAGAAAGAGAGAGAGAGAATAGCCGAGAGCGAGAGATAGAGAGAGAGAGAAAATAGAGGAGCTAGAGAGATAGATAAGAGAGAGAGAGATGAAGATCTCCTAGCGTGTGCGTAACTCTAGAAGCTCTTCTCTCTCTCTCTCTCTCTGCCCCTCTCTCTCTCTCTCTCTCTCTCTCTCCTCTCTCTCTCCTCTCGTCTCTCTCTCTCTCCTCTCTCTCAGATCGAGAGGAGAACTGATGAGAGAGCGAGAGACAAGAAAAGGTCAACCAGTGAAGAACAAACACCATTGTAAATACAACCCAGATTTATGTTGATTTATTTTCCCATTTGTACTTTAACTATTTGCACATTGTTACAACACTGTATATATACATAATATGACATTTGAAATGTCTTTATTATTTTGGAACTTCTGAGTGTAATGTTTACTGTTAATATTTATTGTTTATTTCACTTTTGTTTACTATCTACTTCACTTGCTTTGGCAATGTTAACATATGTTTCCCATGCCAATAAAGCCCTTAAATGTAATTTAATTGAGACAGACAGACAGACAGACAGACAGACAGACAAGAGTTCCCAGAGCAGCTGGTAAAATGATGACTTCCTAGTATCATATATCATATTTCAAATGATTTAGAGGAAGACTACATTTGAGAAAAACAAGTGAGTTAAAGATAAAGGAAGGACTAAAAATTTAAAATCAGAAGAAAACTTGCTAACAGTTGTTTACACATTGCTAGGGAGTTGCTAAGAGAGCTTCTAGCTTCTGGCTACCTGCTGTTAGCTAAAAAACCCAGCTAGCTAACAAATAACAAAAGCACAATCAAAAATGACAAAGGCCAGGACAAAGGACATGAAAACTAGTACCTAAACTTACACAAGCAAGAGAAAACTATTCAGACAGAAAACAAGGTAGGCTTTGTTTACATTCAAAAACAACTAGCTACAACTATCCAAGTACAAACCAGCTGTAACATCTACTGCATCCAGCTGTAATCAACTAAGATGGATACATTTACAAGCCCCAAGCTCAGCAGCCTTACAATCAAATATGCAGCAAGTATTGCCAGTGAAGCGGGTAGGAAAAAAAATATCAAGCAAAAGGTTTTAAAAGAGCACCCAGAGACCCTAAGAGCAGAATTTATGCAACAAAAAGACAAAAGAAATCAAAAGGTGGATCTTCTCTTTCTCACTGAACGTCCAAATGTTTGGCATGAAGCCTTGCGCAAGGCAAACAAACATGTGAACACAACCCCAAAATGTAATGTAATGTTACTCTAATAATGGAACAGTAATGATCCAAGGCTCTGAGGCCAGTCTAGAGCTGTTTGAAGAGGAGTTGAACATGATAAAACATCTAGTGGATGATGAACTAAAAACTGACATGTCTCCACTAACAACGCCTGTAACTCCCAAAAGCTGGGCTTCAAACCAGGAGGCCCACAGTACATCACAGGAGGCCCACAGTACATCACTCCCTCCCTCACCTGTAGCAGCTGTGTACACACCAAAAACATTATCGGTGAAATGAATCCTGAACGGCCTTCTCCCTACTTGAAGTACGAGATTAAGGAATTCAGGGAGATCAAACAACAAGAATGTGACACTGTCCAGACGCCGATGGAAGCGTTGAGGCTTTTCCAGGATGAGAGCTGTGCTTTAATAAAACCAAGTCAGACGACAGAAGTTAAGACAGAACACTGAACAAATGACACAGTCCAATGACGTCCTCCAAGAGGAGCTGTGTGTGGTAAAGGTGGAGGTGCAGCAGAGAGAGAGGGACATGATGCCCTCCAAGAGGAGCTGTGTGTGGTAAAGGTAAAGGTGCAGCAGAGAGAGAGGGACATGATGCCCTCCAAGAGGAGCTGTGTGTGGTAAAGGTGGAGGTGCAGCAGAGAGAGAGGGACATGATGCCCTCCAAGAGGAGCTGTGTGTGGTAAAGGTGGAGGTGCAGCAGAGAGAGAGGGACATGATGCCCTCCAAGAGGAGCTGTGTGTGGTAAAGGTGGAGGTGCAGCAGAGAGAGAGGGACATGACGTCCTCCAAGAGGAGCTGTGTGTGGTAAAGGTGGAGGTGCAGCAGAGAGAGAGGGACATGATGCCCTCCAAGAGGAGCTGTGTGTGGTAAAGGTAAAGGTGCAGCAGAGAGAGAGGGACATGATGCCCTCCAAGAGGAGCTGTGTGTGGTAAAGGTGGAGGTGCAGCAGAGAGAGAGGGACATGACGTCCTCCAAGAGGAGCTGTGTGTGGTAAAGGTGGAGGTGCAGCAGAGAGAGAGGGACATGATGCCCTCCAAGAGGAGCTGTGTGTGGTAAAGGTGGAGGTGCAGCAGAGAGAAAGGGACATGATGCCCTCTGTCAGCAGCTTCTGACAACGGCGCCAACAGAACAGCCCCATCAGCCTGGTGGAAGCCCAGATACCCCTGAGCCCAGCGCAGCCTTCACCCAATCTGCCTCACAAGCCTCTCAGCCTACCACAGCCTACCAGCCTCACCAACCTCCCAGCCTACCACAGCCTACCCTGACCTGCCAACATCCCAGCCTACCAGCCTCACCAACTTCCCAGCCTACCACAGCCTACCAGCCTCACCAACCTCCCATAGCCTACCCAGCCTCACCAACCTCCCATTGCCTACCAGCCTCACCAACCTCCCATAGCCTACCCTGCCTCACCAACCTCCCAGCCTACCACAGCCTGACAACCTTGTCTAACATACTGGGACAATGACCTGTGACTAAAGGAGAAAGAGTGTCTGAGAAAGTGAGAAAGGTGTCAGAGAAACACCCTGTTCCCAACGACAACCATTATTATACTCACCCTTCTACCAAGGAAAGATCTCCCCTGGAAAATGTCAACCAAAAAAAATAATCACCATGACTGTGCCTCACTACCAAATGTCATCCTCTCTCACCACTACACCCTGACATGTGAGCACTTGTACGACCATGTACACCTGGACCATGAGGGAGTCATTAGGCAGAGTTCCACTACCATACCAGCCCAGCAACAGAGCCCCCCCCCCACCTCCCCGCTATCCAAGGAGAGAGGAGGCCAATCTCATCTGAGCTGAGCCAGACAGACATCTCCAGTCCCTACTAACATGTCCAAGCCCAGTGTTGCTAGACCCAGACCAGCTCAGCCCGGTGGTGCCAGAACCAACACAGCTCAGCCCAGCAGTGCCAGAACCAACCCAGATCAGCCCAGCAGTGCTAGACCCAGACCAGCTCAGCCCATCGCTTCCAGAACCAACCCAGCTCAGCCAAGTGGTGCCAGGAACAACCCAGCTCAGCCCAGCGGTGCCAGAACCAGCCCAGCTCAGCCCAGCCCAAAAGGGACACAGCTCAGCCCAACACAACCCTTCACAGCACTGGACTGTACTCTAGGGGTAGGACAAATAGTGGCCAACAGGAGGGTACCCTTGCCCGGGCCCAGACCTCACTGACAGCCCACACATGCAGAGACGGCCTCTGGTAAGAGACATATAGACCCTTCAGCCATCGGAGAGGTGGTCAACTGCTGAAGCTGATGTGTAAACTTCTAGAATAGGTATAAGCCAACGTATTGGACCTTATCAGAAAACACTCATTCTATAAAGATAAAAGAGAAATGAATTTCCCATTCTGAAATGACATGTAGATATAGTCAACACTAGAATTTTTTTTTCCTGCTACTGAAGAATGCTCTTAGGTGAAACACACACAGCACAACACTTACTTGTGTTAGATGTGGTTAGTGCGCTTAGTGCCTTTTATGTTATTTATTATTACACTCACACACTTTATTTATTTATTTTGTTTTGCTTCACACACACATTTTGATTTTCCTGTTCTATATTTGCTTGTGTATTAATTTCATATGTACTTGACTCTAACCAAATAATATATGCTATACACATATACAGTACCAGTCAAAAGTTTGAACACACCTACTCATTCCAGAGTTTTTCTTAATTTTTACTATTTTCTACATTGTAGAATAATAGTGAAGACATCAAAACTATGAAATAACACGCATGGAATCATGTAGTAACCAAAAAAAGTGTTAAACAAATAAAAATATATTTTATATTTGAGATTCTTTAAAGTAGCCACCCTTCGCCTTGATGACAGCTTTGCACACTCTTGGCATTCTCTCAACCAGCTTCACCTGGAATGCTTTTCCAAAAGAGCTGAACCCTGAAAAGAGTCCCCTAAGTCAGCTGTTAAAAACACTAAACAACCCTATTATCAAAACACACAGGGTAATCAATCACATTGTTACAGCAATGAAAACCTCCTATTTGACAAATTTGGAAAATGAAATAAAAACACAGAATAAACTAAATTGCTAATTGGTCCTCAAAAGAGAATTCAAATGGGCAGAATATCTCTACTCTGTCAGAGATACAAAACAGAGACAGATCCTGACTAAATACAGGCTCAGCCACCACCTGGCTATAGAAATAGGGAACCACAAAAATACATGGCTACACAAAGAGGAGCATCCATGTGGTCACTGAACGACCGGGGAGGTAGAGACATATACACTTTTTCCTCTACTGTGAGAAATACTCCCAAATAAGATCATATTTTTTTCAAGAAAATATCTCAATCAATTCCCAACTTATGTGAATTTACTAACAACATAAAGCTGGGAATTATTCTGTGTGAGGGAGAAACCGCAAAAATTACTGCCAGATATGTATATGATTGCCATAGCCTGAGGGACATCCCATGAATATTAATTTCCTGAAGTATTTACATTGTATATAACTTACAAGTAATACAAAAAGAGAGAGAGGAGCGAGAGAGAGGGAGAGAGGAGCGAGAGAGAGGAAGAGAGAGCAAGAGAGAAAGGGGCAGAGAAGAGAGAGAGGCAGGGAAGAGAGTGAGTGAGAGAGCGAGAGAGAGGCTGAGAGAATATACAAGGTCTGAGGTCATCTGCCTTTAAGAGCAGGAACCCCAACTTCATAAAAAAATTGGAAATACAGACATTGTCATCCTACAAGAAACATGGTACAGAGGAGACGGACCCACTGGTTGCCCTCTAGGTTACAGAGAACTGGTAGTCCCATCCACCAAACTACCAGGCGTGAAACAGGGAAGGGACTCAGGGGGTATGCACATTTTGTATAGAGCAGACCTAACCCACTCTATTAAATTAGTAAAAACAGGAACATTTTATATCAAATGGTCTGAACAGAGAATAATGTCCTCATGTGTGCTACCTACAGTGGGGGGAAAAAGTCAGCCACCAATTGTGCAAGTTCTCCCACTTAAGAAGATGAGAGAGGCCTGTAATTTTCATCATAGGTACACGTCAACTATGACAGACAAATGGAGAATTTTTTTTCCAGAAAATCACATTGTAGGATTTTTTATGAATTGCTCTATATTGCTTTATATGCTCTGTCACACGCTGGGTTTGTACACAGTCAATGGTAGGCTTCAAGGGGACTCTTACGGTAGGTACACCTACAGCTCATCCCTGGGCAGTGGTACTGTAGACTACTTTATCACTGACCTCAACCCAGAGTCTCTTAGAGCGTTCACAGTCAGCCCACTGACACCCCTATCAGATCACAGCAAAATCACAGTCTAATTGAACAGAGCAATATTCAATCATGAGCCATCAAAGCCAAAGGAACTGAATAATATTAAGAAATGCTATAGATGGAAGAAAGTAGTGTCGAAACCTACCAATAAACTATTAGGCAACAACAAATTCAATCCCTTTTAGACAACTTCCTGGACAAAACGTTTCATTGTAATAGTGAAGGCGTAAACTTAGCAGTAAAAAACCTAAACATTATATTTGACCTCTCAGCTTCCCTATCAAATAAAAAAATAAATAAAGCAGACAACCTATGAAAATTAACAATGACAAATGGTTTGATGAAGAACGCAAAAACCTAAGAAAGAAATTGAGAAACCTATCCTACCAAAAACATAGAGACTCAGAAAACTACAGCCCATGTCTTCACTATGGAGAATAAAACAATACAGAAATACACTACGTAAAAAGAAGGAACAGCATGTCAGATATCAGCTCAATGTAATTGAAGAATCCATAGAAAATTGGAACACACTAAACAAACAACAACATGAAGAGTTATCTATCCAAAACGGAGATGTATGGATAAACCACTTCTCCAATCTTTTTGGCTCTATAACAAAGAAAAAACTGCAAAAACATATACATGATCAAATACAAATCTCAGACTCAACTATTAAAGACTACCAGAATGCACTGGATTCCCCAATTACATTGAATGAACTACAGGACAAAATACAAAACCCTCTAACCCAAAAATGCCTGTGGTGTTGATGGTATCCTCAATGAAATTATAAAATATACAAACCACAAATTCCAATTGGCTATACTTAAACTCTTTAACATTATCCTCAGCTCTGGCATCTTCCCCAATATTTGGAACCAAGGACTGATCACCCCAAATCTACAAAAGTAGAGACAAATTTGACCACAATAATTACCATGGAATATTCGTCAACAGCAATCTTGGGAAAATCCTCTGCATTATCATTAACAGCAGACTCGTACATTTCCACAGTGAAAACAATGTACTTAGCAAATGTCAAATTGGCTTTTTACCACATTACCGTACGACAGACCATGTATTCACCCTGCACACCCTATTTGACAAACAAACAAACAAAAACAAAGGCAAAGTCTTCTCATACTTTGTTGATTTCAAAAAAGCTTTTGACTCAATTTGGCATGAGGGTCTGCTATACAAAATTGATGGAAAGCGGTGTTGGGGGAAAAACATATTACATTATCAAATCCATGTAGACAAACAACCAGTGGGCCGTTAAAATTGGCAAAATACAAAAAAAAATCCACAGGGCTGTGGAGTGAGACAGGGATGCAGCTTGAGCCCCACCCTCTTCAACATATATATCAACGAATTGGCGAGGGCACTAGAACAGTCTGCAGCACCCGGCCTCACCCTACTAGAATCTGAAGTCAAATGTCTACATTTTAGTCATTTAGCAGACACTCTTATCCAGAGCGACTTAAAGTTAGTGAGTGCATACATTTTTTTTTCATACTACTCTTTGCTGATGATCTGGTGCTTTGTCCCCAACCAAGGAGGGCCTACAGCAGCACCTAGATCTTCTGCACAGATTCTGTCAGACCTGGGCCCTGACAGTAAATCTCAGAAAGACAAAAATAATGGTGTTCCAAAAAAGGTCCAGTTTCCAGGACCACAACTACAAATTCCATCTAGACACTGTTGCCCTAGAGCACACAAAAAACGATACAATCCTCGGCCTAAACATCAGCGCCACAGGTAACTTCCACAAAGCTGTGAACCATCTGAGAGACAAGGCAAGAAGGGCCTTCTACGCCATCAAAAGGAACAACACTTGACATACCAATTAGGATCTGGCTAAAAATACTTGAATCAGTTATAGAACCCATTGCCCTTTATGGTTGTGAGGTCTGGGGTCCGCTCACCGACCAATAATTTACAAAATGGAACAAACACCAAATTGAGACACTGCATGCAGAATTCTGCTAAAATATCCTCTGTGTAAAATGTAAAACACCAAATAATGAGAGAGACGAGGAAGAGACCGAGGAAGAGAGAGAGACCGAGGCAGAGAGAGAGGGAGATAGAAAGAGACCATTGTGGTGTCTAGACCTGCTATATACTGCTGCCTGCCTGGGATAAAACAACAGATCAGGTGTCCTGGATTGAACTCTGCTTAAATAACACTTCCATGTGCTATCTACAGTAGGCCCCTATAAATCAACGATGTGGCGAAAGTGGATGGAATCACGGAATCCAGACATTAAAACGGAATTCAACAATATTTAAAAATATATTGAACTTAGTACATTTTACATTTACATTTTAGTCATTTAGCAGACGCTCTTATCCAGAGCGACTTACAGGAGCAATTAGGGTTAAGTGCCTTGCTCAAGGGCACATTTATGTCATTTAGCAGACGCTCTTATCCAGAGCGACTACAAATTGGTGCATTCACCCTATAGCCAGTGGGATAACCAGTAGGAAATCAACTAAATGTATTTAACTTTAGAAAATGCATTCATTTGTCCAAGATTGTCATAAGACAAAGTGGTTTGTCTACCACTTTGTGCAATGATTAGAGATGATGCTAATGTAATGACAACCGTCTTCTGGTAGATGGAAAGGTTCCCAAAAACCTTCTAAATTAAATGTTAACTACAAAGTAGCCTATTCCTACCTGGCAAAATTATATCATGATTATTTGCATCAATCCAGTGGTGATTTGTTCAGCAAACTCTGCAATCACATGAGCACTACAGAAACATCGCAAACCAAATAAGTCCTGGCTGGTGACCAGTTGAATTAAAGGATAACTACACCCAAAAATCTAAATTTCAAAAGTAGTCTTCTGATGTGGTTTAAGCATTGCTGTGGACTTAGAACATCCAATTTAGTTGGTTTTATATTTTAAAAAGTGTGATTTTGAGAGCGAAAACTTGAAAAGGAAAAAGGAAAAACAGAAACCTGGAAACACAAAATGGAGGAAACAGAATTTGGGAAAAATGTAAAACGGAAGCAGGTAAAATTTATTGAGCCCTGGACTGCACTTGAATTACAATGAAAACCGAAACGCATTTGACAAGAAATTGGTTATTGATGCAGCACTACAGCTGCTTTTAGACCTAGCTAGCGTATTTCTTGCCCAGTTAAAACTGTCTTCTCCAGGTCTGGCTGGCGTGAGTGTGGCCAATATGGACCTATTTAGCTAGCCTAACTCTGGAAGTCACTGCTCCTGAAGAGCCGTCACCAAGTGATTTTCTGCGTAAGTTTAGCTTCTGACGCTGGCTGAGAGTTTGGTGGAAGACAAATTAGACTTTTTATAATGCCCAAAGAATCATGGCATGATGGTTGTCACTGGGTTTTTTACGGTACTCTTGGCAAACTAACACAGTAACACTAACAAGCAACTTGTCTTCACCTGGAAGTCTCTCTCTGGTGGCCTGACCGTGTGGTAACATTAACCCTAACCATCAGCTCTTCGTAAACAGGATGTGGACAAAGTGTCAGTCTGTTATCTCTGTTAAAATTGTTCTCTGCACTACACTGCAGCATAGTTTGGCTTCCGGAGGTCATATAGGATAGCGTTTCTCCAGGGATGTGTGCCAAATGACATCCTATTCCCTATACAGTACCGTACACTACTTTTGACTGCAGAATCCTGTTCAAAAGTAGTGTACTTTGGGAATAGGGTTCCATTTGGGACACAGTCCAGGACTCTGTTGGACATTTCTGTATTTGCAGGGTCATTGGAATCAGATCAAATCGTTTGGGAAACAACAGCTGTAGATTAACAGTGAAATGCTTACTTACGGGTCATTCCCAACAAAGGCAAAGAGATAGAAAATAGAGAAATAATAGAAAAGTAATGACACGTAATAATAAAAGCAATAATAAATACACAATGAGTAAAGATAATGCATCTACAGTATATACGTGTACAAAACATTAGGAACACCTGCTCTTTCCATGACAGACTGACCAGGTGAAAGCTATGATCCCTTAATGATGTCACCTGTTAAATCCACTTAAAATCAGTGTAGATGAAGGGGAGGAGATTCTTAATGCTTCAGACAATTGAGACATGGATTGTGTATGTATGCCATTCAGAGGGTGAATTGGCAAGACAAAATATTTAAGTGCCTTTGAACGGGGTATGGTAGTAGGTGCCAGACCCACCGGTTTGAGTGTGTCAAGAACTGCAACGCTGCTGGATTTTACATGCTCAACAGTTTGTGTGTATCAAGAGTCCATGCCTTGACGAATTGAGGCTGTTCTGAGGGCAAAAGGGGGTTTAACTCAATATTAGGAAGGTGTTCCTAATGTTTTGTACACAGGGTACCAGTACCGAGTCGATGTGCAAGGGTACGAGGTAATTGAAGTAGATACAGTGGCCTGCCGAAGTATTCACCCCCCTTGGTATTTTTCCTATTTTGTTGCCTTACAACCTGGAATTAAAAACGTTTTTTGGGGGGGTTTGTATCATTTGATTTACACAACATGCCTACAACTTTGAAGATGCAAAATATTTTTTATTGTGAAACAAACAAGAAATAAGACAAAAAAACAGAAAACTTGAGCGTGCATAACTATTCACCCCCCCCAAAGTCAATACTTTGTAGAGCCACCTTTTGCAGCAATTACAGCTGCAAGTCTCTTGGAGTATATCTCTATAAGCTTGGCACATCTAGCCACTGGGATTTTTGCCCATTCTTCAAGGCAAAACTGCTCCAGCTCCTTCAAGTTGGATGGGTTCCGCTGGTATACAGCTATCTTAAGTCTTAATACAGATTCTCAAATTGGATTGGATTGAGGTCTGGGCTTTGACTAGGCCATTCCAAGACATTTAAATGTTTCCCCTTAAACCACTCGAGTGTTGCTTTAGCAGTATGCTTAGGGTCATTGTCCTGCTGGAAGGTGAACCTCCGTCCCAGTCTGAAATCTCTGGAAGACTGAAACAGGTTTCGCTCAAGAATCAATAATTTCCCATCATTCCTTCAATTCTGACCAGTTTCCCAGTCCCTGCCGATGAAAAACATCCCCACAGCATGATGCTGCCACCACCATGCTTCACTGGATGGTGTTCTCGGGGTGATGAGAGGTGTTGGGTTTGCGCCAGACATAGCGTTTTCCTTGATGGCCAAAAAGCTCAATTTTAGTCTCATCTGACCAGAGTACATTCTTCCATATGTTTGGAGAGTCTCCCACATGCCGTTTGGCAAACACCAAACGTGTAATTTTTTTCTTTAAGCAATGGCTTTTTTCTGGCCACTCTTCCGTAAAGCCCAGCTCTGTGGAGTGTATGGCTTAAAGTGGTCCTATGGACAGATACGCCAATCTCCGCTGTGGAGCTTTGCAGCTCCTTCAGGGTTATCTTTGGTCTCTTTGTTGCCTCTCTGATTAATGCCCTCCTTGCCTGGTCCGTGAGTTTTGGTGGGCGGCCCTCTCTTGGCAGTTTTGTTGTGGTGCCATATTCTTAAACATTTTTAAATAATGGATTTAATAGTGCTCCGTGGAATGTTCAAAGTTCCGCATATTTTTTTATAACCCAACCCTGATCTGTACTTCTCCACAACTTTGTCCCTGACCTGTTTGGAGAGCTGCTGGAAAATGGATTGTGAAAGACTGTGTCTGATTTTGTTTCTCTCCTCATCCATTTGATAAAATGGTACAGGGTGTTAAAATAGCTAGAGCCATGCTCCGCATACCCCTGCACTACTCACCACTCTGTTTTACTCCCTTAGTGGCAGTGAATCACTACGTATTTTACTCTTAATCCAACAGGTTTGCCATGTTTTTCCCCCCTAAATTCCTCGGTTTCCCACCTCAAATATTTTCGGAGGCAAGGTCTTGACATGTCTGTGTGGGATCTGACTGGGCCCGGTCCGCGTCCCAAATGGTACCCTATTCCCTTTATAGTGCACTACTTTTGAGCAAGGCCCATTTGGCTCTGGTGAAAAGTAGTGCACTATGGGGGGGGGGGGGGGGGGGAGAATTCTTTCTCTGTTGCTGGAGGTGATGGAAAATGTTCCCTCACCTTTTTTTCTTAATTCTTTCAGAAGAGGGGGACAAGTTGATGCATGAAGCAGTTTAGGATGGGGAGAAGAGTGAAACAATGGGTCATAGAGGAGTAACTCAGAGAGAGAAGGAGAGTTGTAACTCAGAGAGAGACAGAGAGGAGTAACTCAGAGAGAGAAGGAGAGGAGTAACTCAGAGAGAGAAACAGAGAATATGTACTGTAGACTGAGGGAGGATCGCTCTCTCTCTGCCCGCCCGCAACAATTGGGGCGGATGGTAATGACGTCTATAAGACTCTCAGAATCTCACCATCTAAGCTGTGTGATAACTAGACCTTTGTGATTGAATGATAAAGGTCAGTCAATATACTGAGGACTGACGCTCTTCAATCAAGCTGCAGCCAGGAACAGTAACACTTAATCAGATCTCAGCGAGCTATGGCAGGGAGGAAGGAATAAGGGAGGCAGAAATAATAAATAAGCCTGTGCCACATCTGTTTTTAGCTGCCAGTTCTGTATGGCTCTTCCACAGGGTTAAATACATCATGATGGATCAAAAACTGAGTAAGGCTATGGTGTTGGGTTGAATGCACATAGCTAGCTGATTCTGAGACAGCCAACCAGTGGCAGCAGCTAGGCTAGCGGTTCTTGTGCAAAATAAACCCCAGGGTGTCTCTGTGTGAGTGTGATTGGTTGTCCGCAATCACACATTTCCTGTTGCTATGGAATAAACTAAATCAATCCCTATTGCTATGGCATAAACTAAATCAATCCCTGTTGCTATGGTATAAACTAAATCAATCCCTGTTGCTATGGCATAAACTAAATCAATCCCTGTTGCTATGGCATTAACTAAATCAAACCCTGTTGCTATGGCATAAACTAAATCAATCCCTGTTGCGCAGCACTTCCCCGCCTAGTCATTCAGTGACTACGCAGTCATTCAAACTGAGGGGCAAGTGCAAACAGAGGCACTCCTCGGGTGCATCCCAAATAGCACCCTATATCCTATACAGTGCACTACTTTTGATCAGGGCCCATAGGGAATAGGGTGCCATTTGGGATGCACCCAGAGGCAGAAGAATGAGGAATTACAGAGAACCATGTATCAGACAACTGTAAGTACACATGGGCAGGGACCCAGTCTCCATTTAGTTTGATTATACTGTCCTAAGTGTGCTCTATCATTTAGGTTAGTGGGTGGTGGTGAGAGAGCATTGGGATACGCATGGTGGTTTGGGGTCTCCTGTTCCCTTTCCTTCACCACAGAGATGTCAACATACAGGGTGTGTCCCAAATGGTTCCCTATATAGTGCACTACTTTTGACCAGAGAACCATAGACTAGAGGGCCCTCTCAGAGACAAGCACCCTATATAAAGGGCTTCTTTAAAAGCATTATTTCAGCTTGATCTGGCAGCATTTATGGACTTTTATATGGAACCAGTCAACCAATGACACATTCATGAAATCCTCCCAACTTGGCTGCTTTTAGATAGGATAAGACAGCACTTTATTAATCCCCAAAGAGGACATTTTGTTTGCACCAGCTAATACTTACAACATCAATAATTGCAGAATAAATACACAACAAAGGACTGACAGACACTAAAACTCAAAACTTCATCATATCAACAAGGCATTTTTCAGTTACTGCAGTATTTGTGATTCCTTCCCCCCTCTCCTGTAGAACATTACCAGTAACATCCCAAATCCACAAAACAATATTACAGAATATTCTGTCCAGAATACCTTATTACCCCCCCCCCTATTCTCACCAGCCAGCTGTCCAAACAAAACGTTACATAGCCTCTGCTCTGCCCGGGCTGCTTATGTAATATGGCATGGCAAACGCTTAGCAGCACATCCTCTCTCACTCTCTCTCACACACACACACACACACTCTTAGCTTAGCATTCTTCCCGCGGCATGCCATGTGATCAAGCCTCTCAAGTCAAATTAAACTATGAATGTCAAGCTCCCAGTCAGTCACTGTTCATTGATGTGCATCAGATCTTATAAGAGCACTGTTATATTTCAAGGAATCCTAAAAAAAAAAAGTGATCATGACGTTTAATAAGTAAACAATAGGATCAGGAAGTCTGTCAAGGATGGGTTTAATCCCTACAAACTAAGCAGGCAGGTCAACGAATTGTGTGTGTATTGTGTGTGTAAAGCACTGTGTGTGTGTGTGTGTGTGTGTGTTTGTGTGTGCAATGCATTTGAGCATAGCATACTGTGTGTGCAATGCATGCATTTAGAGTACTACTAAGCTTAAAGTTACATGTACACAGTGTACAAAACATTAAGGACACCTGCTCTTTCCATGACAGACTGGTGAAAGGTGAAAGCTATGATCCCTTATTGATGTCACTTGTTAAATCCACTTCAAATCAATGTAGATGAAGGGGAGGATACTTTTTAAGCCTTGAGACAAATGAGACATGGATTGTGTATGTATGCCATTCAGAGGGTGAATGGGCAAGACAAAATATTTAAGTGCCTTTGAACGGGGTATGGTAGTAGGTGCCAGGTGCACCGGTTTGTGTCAAGAACGGCAACGACGCTGGGTTTTTCACGCTCAACAGATTCCCGTGTGTATCAAGAATAGTCCACCAGTCAAAGGACATCCAGCCAACTTGACACAATTGTGGGAAGCATTGGAATCAACATGGGCCAGCATCCCTGTGGAACGCTTGACACCTTGCAGAGTCAATGCCTCGACAAATTGAGGCTGTTCTGAGGGGGGACGACTCAATATCAGGAAGGTGTCCCTAATGTTTTGTACACTGTGTACATTTAACTTTAAGCTTAGTAGTACGCTACATGCATGCATTGCACACACAGTATGCTATGCTCAATACATGCTAACAGAGCTTGTGTGTAATAATGTTGTATTGTATGTCACAAATGAAGCAGCCCAATTACGATAATGGTCTAGTGCTCACAGAGTGCAGAGATAGTCCACTTTCATTTGAAAGTGCCAGTTGGCATGTTGTGCATCGGTTTGATGTGTTGTCGACTTTCCTCTGTGTTGTTCCTGTTTGCTATTGTGCATGCTATTGATATCCGTGTGTGTGTGTGTGTGTGTGTGATGAAGCCAGCATTCTTACCGTAACCGTCTCGTCGGTTGGGTACATGGCGTCCCTTTTGGGAGTGATAGTGTTCTATCCCAAGAATTCTATCCTGTAGTGCTGTTGCAGGGGCAGAGGAGAGACAAAACACGACTGCAGCCCCCTCTCTCTCTCTCTCTCTCTCTCTGACTGACTATCACTGAGGCACGTTAGATAGATACTGCTGCAATAGGGAAGGACCCACACTGCCAGCTACACAAACACATAGACCAATACACTTCTATAAAACAGAGACCATGCCAGCTGAGCTCAAAGTGACACTCCTCTCTATAAAAAAAAAGAGAGCATGCCAGCTGCATGCCTCAAAGCTGACCACTCCTTCTCTCTGGCTGGCACAACAAGCTCTCCGTCTCTCCTCTCTCCTGGACTGGCACCAACAAGCTCTCCTCGTCTCTCCTCTCTTGGCTGGCACAACAAGCTCTCCGTTCTCCTCTCCTCTGGCTGGCACAACAGGCTCTCCGTCTCTCCTCTCTCTGGCTGGCACACACACAAACGCTCTCCGTCTCTCCTCTCTCTGGCTGGCACAACAAGCTCTCCGTCTCTCCTCTCTCTGGCTGGCACAACAAGCTCTCCGTCTCTCCTCTCTCTGGCTGGCACAACAAGCTCTCCGTCTCTCCTCTCTCTGGCTGGCACAACAAGCTCTCCGTCTCTCCTCTCTCTGGCTGGCACAACAAGCTCTCCGTCTCTCCTCTCTCTGGCTGGCACAACAAGCTCTCCGTCTCTCCTCTCTCTGGCTGGCACAACAAGCTCTCCGTCTCTCCTCTCTCTGGCTGGCACAACAAGCTCTCCGTCTCTCCTCTCTCTGGCTGGCACAACAAGCTCTCCGTCTCTCCTCTCTCTGGCTGGCACAACAAGCTCTCCGTCTCTCCTCTCTCTGGCTGGCACAACAAGCTCTCCGTCTCTCCTCTCTCTGGCTGGCACAACAAGCTCTCCGTCTCTCCTCTCTCTGGCTGGCACAACAAGCTCTCCGTCTCTCCTCTCTCTGGCTGGCACAACAAGCTCTCCGTCTCTCCTCTCTCTGGCTGGCACAACAAGCTCTCCGTCTCTCCTCTCTCTGGCTGGCACAACAAGCTCTCCGTCTCTCCTCTCTCTGGCTGGCACAACAAGCTCTCCGTCTCTCCTCTCTCTGGCTGGCACAACAAGCTCTCCGTCTCTCCTCTCTCTGGCTGGCACAACAAGCTCTCCGTCTCTCCTCTCTCTGGCTGGCACAACAAGCTCTCCGTCTCTCCTCTCTCTGGCTGGCACAACAAGCTCTCCGTCTCTCCTCTCTCTGGCTGGCACAACAAGCTCTCCGTCTCTCCTCTCTCTGGCTGGCACAACAAGCTCTCCGTCTCTCCTCTCTCTGGCTGGCACAACAAGCTCTCCGTCTCTCCTCTCTCTGGCTGGCACAACAAGCTCTCCGTCTCTCCTCTCTCTGGCTGGCACAACAAGCTCTCCGTCTCTCCTCTCTCTGGCTGGCACAACAAGCTCTCCGTCTCTCCTCTCTCTGGCTGGCACAACAAGCTCTCCGTCTCTCCTCTCTCTGGCTGGCACAACAAGCTCTCCGTCTCTTCCTCTCTCTGGCTGGCACAACAAGCTCTCCGTCTCTCCTCTCTCTGGCTGGCACAACAAGCTCTCCGTCTCTCCTCTCTCTGGCTGGCACAACAAGCTCTCCGTCTCTCCTCTCTCTGGCTGGCACAACAAGCTCTCCGTCTCTCCTCTCTCTGGCTGGCACAACAAGCTCTCCGTCTCTCCTCTCTCTGGCTGGCACAACAAGCTCTCCGTCTCTCCTCTCTCCTGGCTGGCACAACAAGCTCTCCGTCTCTCCTCTCTCTGGCTGGCACAACAAGCTCTCCGTCTCTCCTCTCTCTGGCTGGCACAACAAGCTCTCCGTCTCTCCTCTCTCTGGCTGGCACAACAAGCTCTCCGTCTCTCCTCTCTCTGGCTGGCACAACAAGCTCTCCGTCTCTCCTCTCTCTGGCTGGCAACAACAAGCTCTCCGTCTCTCCTCTCTCTGGCTGGCACAACAAGCTCTCCGTCTCTCCTCTCTCTGGCTGGCACAACAAGCTCTCCGTCTCTCCTCTCTCTGGCTGGCACAACAAGCTCTCCGTCTCTCCTCTCTCTGGCTGGCACAACAAGCTCTCCGTCTCTCCTCTCTCTGGCTGGCACAACAAGCTCTCCGTCTCTCCTCTCTCTGGCTGGCACAACAAGCTCTCCGTCTCTCCTCTCTCTGGCTGGCACAACAAGCTCTCCGTCTCTCCTCTCTCTGGCTGGCACAACAAGCTCTCCGTCTCTCCTCTCTCTGGCTGGCACAACAAGCTCTCCGTCTCTCCTCTCTCTGGCTGGCACAACAAGCTCTCCTCTCCTCTCTCTGGCTGGCACAACAAGCTCTCCGTCTCTCCTCTCTCTGGCTGGCACAACAAGCTCTCCGTCTCTCCTCTCTCTGGCTGGCACAACAAGCTCTCCGTCTCTCCTCTCTCTGGCTGGCACTGTGCTCCAACCAATCCACATGCAATACCCCTTAACACAGTCCGTCCCATCAGATACAACTCTCCACAGAGGAAAGTCCCCCCACCCCCCGGCGCTCTCTCCCCCACCCCCCTTCAGATGTACTTTTCAGTTTACATTTTCCATGTACTGAATGAAAATCTAAAAGGTTCAATGTGTTTCCATTGCATTTTCAACTATACCGACAGTTTTGTCACAAAATGTGCCTACGCTCCAGCCAACAGCTCGTAGATACAGCGTGGGTAGGTTAGTCTACATGATGAGATTAATTATGGATAAGACCGAGAATATTTTTATTTGTCAAACGGCAGTCAAGCGTAGATCATCATGTCACCAGAATAAGAACCTCAATATTTATTGGAAAGCAGCATCAAGCTCATCACCATGGACTTTCACCACTCTGTGAAGTTCATCATAACTTATTTAATCTGTAGCCTAATAAACGGTTTCCCGAGTCGTAGTGGGAGGACCACACACCCCATATCATCGCGTGATATGATGGTTATTATATCAATATTTGCGCATAAAAGGCATTTCCAACGCCATTTCTCACATCATTAATTTTACCGACACAAAAAGAGCCCACCATGTCGAACGAACAAAATATCTGTCGGCATTTATAAAATTGTTCCCGAAATGTCCTGTTTCCATCACATCTGTCGTGATTTTACTCGCATAAAAACCGCGGTTGGAAACGTGGTTAGTGTAAGTAGCTATTAGCAAAGTCAGAGCTAGTAAGGAAAAAGTCAAGTGCAAGTGTTAGTTTGGTGGGGGGGTGAGGAGAGGTAGGGTTTCAGATGTTTTCAGAAGACGGGCAGGGACTCTGCTGTCCTAGCCTCAGGGGGCAAGTTGGTTCCAGGACAGAGAAGAGCTTGGACTGAGTGTGAGCTGCCCTCCCGTAGGGGTGGGAGGGACAAGAGACCAGGGGTGGTGGAAAGGAGTGCTCAGGTTGGGGTGTAAGGTCTGAGCAGAGCCTGAAGGAAGGGAGGGGCAGTTCCTCTTGCTGCTCCGTAGACAAGCACCATGGTCTTGTAGTGGAGACGAGCTTCCACTGGAAGTCAGTGGAGTGTACGGAGGAGCGGGGTGACATGGGAAGGTTGAACACCAGGCGGGCTGCAGCGTTCTGCCCTGTGCCAACACCGCGACGACCAGATGCTCTCAGACTATGAGTGTTCTCTGGGATGATCCATGTCTCCGTCAAGGCCAAAAGGTCAAGGGACTGAAGGGCAGCATAGGCTGAAATTAACTCTGTGTTCTTCACCACAGATCGGCAGTTCCAAACGCTGCCAGAGACCAGGAATTCCATGTGGGTTGTGCACACAGGGTACACTAAATTAGAAGGGTTGCAACCAATTGAAATCTTGCATTGGTTCAACGGATTTAATAGCTATGTAGAATATTTGCTCTCCACCTGAAGACAGGTGAATTCACATGTGGTAAGCTGCTTCTTCATCACAAAAATTGACACTTGGCAGAAACAACACCGTTGGAAGAGAGCTGGAACAGGAAGAAGGAAAGAGATAGGAAGAGAGATGAAAGAAGAGAGAGAGAACAGAAGGTATGTAGGGTACAGGACCATGAACTAAATGACTATCGCCCCGTAGCACTCACCTCTGTCGTCATTGAGGTGCTTTGAGAGTCAAGGATCATATCACCTCTACCTTACCTCTCACCCTAGACCCACTTCAATTTACTTACCGCCCCAAAAGATCCACAGACGATGCAATCGCCATCACACTGCACACTGCCCTATCCCATCTGGACAAGAGGAATACCTATGTAAGAATGCTGTTCATTGACTATAGCTCAGCATTCAACACCATAGTACCCTCCAAGCTCATCATTAAGCTCGAGGCCCTGGGTCTGAACCCCGCCCTGTGCAACTGGGTCCTGGACTTCATTACGGGCCGCCCCCAGGTGGTGATGGTAGGAAACAACAAAGGGTGCGTGCTCAGCCCCTCCTGTACTCCCTTTTCACCCATGACTGCGTGGCCAAGCAAGCCTCCAACTCAATCATCAAGTTTGCAAACGACACAACATTGATGAGACAGCCTACAGGGAGGAGGTGAGGGCTCTGGGAGTGTGGTGCCAGGGAAATAACTTCTCACTCAACGTCAACAAAACAAAGGAGATGATTGTGGACTTCAGGAAACAGCAGAGGGTGCACCCCCACTATCCACATCGACGGGACCACAGTGGAGAAGGTGGAAAGCTTCAAGTTCCTTGGCATACACATCACTGACAAACTGAAATGGTCCACCCACGCAGACAGTGTAGTGAAGAAGGCGCAACAGAGCCTCTTCAACCTCACGAGGCGGAAGAAATTTGTCTTGGCACCTAAAACCCTCAAACTTTTACAGATGCACAATTGAGAGCATGCTGTCGGGCTGTATCACCGCCTGGTACGGCAACTGCACCACCCGCAACCACAGGGCTCTCCAGAGGGTGGTGTGGTCTGCCGAACGCATTACCGGGTGCAAACTACCCGCCCTCCAGGACACCTACAGCACCCGATGTCA